TTTAAACATCAACACCATAACTGCCTCTTCTTACCAAACTTTGGTTTCTGCATTATTAAAAGCATATGTGCTCCAGAGTTCACCTTCCTAGACTTTATATTTGAAGTTATTTGAAGCCTAATGCAACACTTACCTGTCAGTCTTGCCATAACGAGCTGCAAAGCACTGCATTTTACTGGCAAGAGAGCTGGCTCTTTGTAGTTGGAGAGACTCTACAAAACCGTTAAGTTGATGGCCATTTGCCTAAGAAAAGATTACATTTTTGGTGGTTAATTTGTTTACTAAAAATGCTATCAAGCTCATAATTCAGTGTTTAAAAAACTGAGACAGAGAAGAGAAACGCACCATTTCCTCAGCCGTTAGGCATTGGTTGGACCAAAGGTCCATAGTAGGTTTGACAGTCTGTTTATCAAACAGTTATCTCAAACTTCTCAAACTGCAATGTTAAAACAACATTTATTTAGACAGATACATATGAAATAACTATGATGCATATTAATATTGCATCAATTAAGCTCTTTTGGAAAAGTTCTTGAATTGTTTTAATGAAACATCAATAAAGACTTACTTCAATGAATTTTTTAAATGTCTGTGACCGCAGTAGGCCGTAGTCTTCTTGAAATATCGTTGTTTTTCGCAAAAGGATTGATCTTTTGATGTAGTTCACAAGTGTACCAATGTGTCTTTCTCTCTCTGTGCACTGAAAAGACTGGCTGCAAGTTCAAAAATCACCCAGTTTTCCAGAATATAATGCATTCTAGATTCCGTGATGTCATGTTTTGTTTTTTTTCAAATATATTCATACAACAACACTCATATATATATATATATATATATATATATATATAGTTGTTGTTGTTGTTGTTGTTGGTGATGATAATAAAACAACAATCTTCTAAACAAAATCAGCTACATAAAGCACTAGGGATATGTACCAATGGTTCCCAGCCTTTCTTGTCAGACGTACCCCACAGCCCAGTCCGATTAACTCAAGTACCCCTTCATCAGCATCTCCATTTATGTATCAAGTGTTTTCATTTGAATTAATTTTTGTTATTGTTTGTAATTTAACTGTGAATCATCAAGTGGCTATAATAGTGGATGTTAAAATATTTCCATACAATTGAACTGTCAATGTTTACTTCTGTTTGGTTGTATACAAAAGCAGAAAACCATGTATCCATTACTTTTAACTAATTATTTAAATAGTTTATCCATTCCTTTTAGCCTCATAACTAGTTTTCACAGACTCTTAATTGAAATAGCACCTAAATTAATTTTTATAGCTGACTCAGGATGTGGATGTATATTTTTAATCACATCATTAATTCAGTTTTTTCAAATTACTCCACAGTCTGTCCACAGATCCCCTGGCAACTGCAGAAGTACCCCCTGGGATGTCTGGATACCAGGAACACCAGCAATGTAACACAACCCAGTACATCAATGCCACAAATGAAAAATGATTAAAATAAAAACCACATTGACATCGTCTCCACAAAACATAACATTTTAAGCTTTATCTACAGGGCTGTTGTAAGAGGTTGTACTATTTCTACATACAAATTCAGTTTAAAATGACATATATTAGGGTTTTTAAAGCAGAACCTGAAATATTTACTGTCTAATTCTAGCTTTGGAAAATGATGTGGTTTCATCCTTTAAAATCCCGTATTCAGTCTAAAGCTCTCCTTGATATGAATCTAAAACAGCTCCTGGCTACAGCAGTGTACATTACAGTTTTTTTTTGGAGCTGTGTCCATGGTCTTTTGACCTGACAAACCCAACCAGCATTTTCATTTACCTATTTCACACTCACTGAGAGTAAAGATACAGTTTAGTGGTTTTAATCAACAGACCAGTGATGTCCAGAAGCAGCCATTGTCGCGTTGAAGCCACTGCCGCTCACTGTAGGGCTGAGGATTTGGCAGGAGTTGCATCAAAGTATCTGAAGGTCAAACGCATCAGCCTCACGACATTTGCAGCGGGCCATTGGAGGGCATGAGGAGCTGGATTCACTCATCAAAGCCTTCGTCACTGGTGGTGGTGTCAACTCCCACATCCACAAATCTGTGACTGTAAGGAGGGGGCAACAGAAGACTGCTTAACCTGTGCTGTCGGAGACTGGACCATCTCAGAGTGTGTCTCCATTAAATGGCCCAGTTTCTTTGCTTTGTGTTTATTTTTAAGTGGCTTCAATAATAGATTGTCTTGATTTTGGGGCTTTTTAAGAGATAATCCTGCATTTTTGTGCATTGTTTTGAACTATGTTGAATATTCATAACATTCTTTTTTCAAAGGGGGCCTAATAAATCCCTAAACTATAATTATTCAGAGGATTAAAGATTTATAAAACTATTTTGCATCAAATGGATGAGTTTCCAAAAACCATTCTTATAGGAATTGTCAAACAGACTCTTCCTTTTCTCCACTTTTATTCTGTGCAGAAGTAGTAACGTGGTGTTGCAAGTTTTCCCACCCACAAAGCAGAGACTTTATTCAGTATGGATATACTATGGTCTCTGCATAGCAGCCACCCAAAAGTGCTTCCTTTAAAGTTCATATTTCTGTCAGCTCTTCATTGTAACGTTTTGTGCAGTAGCACACATCTGCCTTCAATTCTGATACACACAATAATCCACTTTTATTCCAATAATATTGTTTATCTGGAGCCACAGGTATTATTATAGTGTGGCACTGCCCCTAGAGGTCGAAGCAGAGTATTCTAAGAAGATTTTAGAAAGGTGCCACTCAGGATGTAACAGGTTTGACATGTAAACTGCTGCTTTTACACAGAGATATGAAACTGACTAGAGTTTGCAGCTCATAAGGCCAAAAACACCTTTATATTTCAGCTATACAAGGTGTGTGTGTGTGTGTGTGTGTGTGTGTGTGTGTGTGTGTGTGTGTGTGTGTGTGTGTGTGTGTGTGTGTGTGTGTGTGTGTGTGTGTGTGGCTTAAAGGAGAAAGGTGCTGCTAGTTTTCCGGCCCATTGTGCCTGAAGTGTGTAGATAGGTTCGTTTGGGGCTCTGCGTCTTCTCTAACAATACCTCTCTGCCTCCGCCTATCTGCCTCTGTATCTGTGACAGATTCGCCCACACACTGACGGCACTGGGGCGTCAATCTGGTTTCTCTAGCCCATGTTATCTTGCACACACACACACACACTTTCCCCCTCTCCTTGCTGTCTTTCTCTACCACCTCTCACTCACCTTCTGGCTTCCAAGCCTCTCCCTCCCTCCCATCTGCCTCTCTATCTGTCTACATAGAGGACTGTGGTAAGGGTGCAGTTCAGCAGCAGTGGAGGTAGCCCCCTTTGTGTTTGTCAAGAGCAGTTTCGCAGGAGATCTTATCCCCTGTGTTGTTCTCTTTTACAGCAGGAAAAGGTGACTGAACTACACTCAGTGGGTTGCCAGGGTCGGACAGTTCAAGCTCAAACTCAGAGACACAATGTCATGCTCAGTGGGCCAAGTGGAAAGTCTTTCCAAGTGTAAAGCCCTTTCAAACATCTCTTAAGCTGGAGGTCATCGACCCCATGTGCTGAGAAGCTAGTCGCCTGTTTAAAGGCTTTGGGTTACATTCGTAAAGTATCAAAATGAAAGAGCATCTTGTTCTTTATTATCCCTTTGCACAAAATCTGTTAGTTGAGTGTGTCATACTGTAGGTGGTCCATTCACTCAAGTACCACAATGACGAAACAGGTTGAAAACTTCATGAATGGAGAATTCTCTTTTCCCCTGCAGACAGCATGTGGGCCAAAAGAAGAGTCTAGACCAGATGTCTAAACCAGGAACTTGGCACACATTTTTTCCAGGAAAATTCTGTGTGTGACTTTAAACGTCGGTTGGGTCTGACAGATAAGCTTGTCTCTTCAAAAAACATACAGGCGTACAACGGCAAAGGTCGATGCTTGCCAGCCCCTATGAACAGCCTGTCTGCGTGCTTTGTAGCCGGTCTACCGCACAATGGATCATGGGTGATTTGTGAGCATTAAAGGTAGCAAAGGTCATCTGGCAGTGAGCTTGCGGTGAGAACTGAATTCACAGAGCCCAATCCTTCAGTGAACTACATTCAGCAGAACCGAAAGCTTTATTGATCGCCCTCAGTACTAATGAGATTGGACATAGCATTCCTAACACCTCCAATATTCCTTTCTCACTAAATCAAGGGATTAGATTGGCATGCACATCCGTCTTATCCCTGCCTGTTACCGTCCATATGTGTCAGGCAGCCCCAAGCCAACAAAGAAGCATAAATGAGAATGAAAGAAAAGGTGGGATTGAATACAAGAAAAGAGCCACCTAAAGGATTTATAGGGCTCCAGCTGAGTCTATACGCTGAGGTAGGGACGCCCCACAAAAGGGGAGAGAGATGAGGGTTGTGATGGGCAGGCCATCACATCCACTGGGAGACAAAGGAGCGGGGCGAGAAGCAGCCGATGGACAGAAGGTCCATTTCCACTCACACAAAAGAGCTGGGGAGATGAAGCAGATTAGCAGCTCTTTATTCCCATTGTGAAAGCTCTAAATGATAAGATTAACCCCCTTTTTCCATCCCAGCCTGTGTCCTGCGTGCGTGGGTGGGTGTGCATAAGCTCACACAAGACATCACAAGCTCTTTCGCTTCTTTTTTCCTGTTTCTTTTGCACACTCCATCAGGATACGCTTCCTTCTTTCACATGCAGGTACACACACACATACACTTCTTTTTTTTCTGGAGAGCCTTTTATTCATCCTCATATGAAGGACAAATGCGACAGCTGGCTTTTGAGTCACTTCCCTTCTTTGTGCTAAACCCTTGAATTTACAGTTTGATGGGAAAGCTCTTAACTTAAACCCCGTCATCACTGAACTGACAATATTCTTTTTATGTTTCTCTGACTTGAAAATTACTCTTTTCAGTGGAAGAGGCACACTTGGGTTATGTTGCTATTAATCACTCACTCACTGGCCTTAATACAGCAGTAAAATGACACACCTATAGCAAGTAATACCAGGCAATTGTATTATATTTTTTATTTTGTTCCATCTCCAGTTTTTTCTCACCATCTGTGTGTATGTTCATGGAGGTGTCACCAACTGTTGTTCATACATGGGTTTGCTGTAGACAGTGGCTTCCTCTGATTATAACTTAGTATTTAGTGCCATCTACTGATCATCTTGTAACATTGCAAGCTCTCATTTTCCCCAATGTCATCAAAGATTTCATACAACCCATTGTGTAAAATAAATAAATAATAAATCTCTAAATTGTATGACATTAGAATTTTGGCCAATCAAAGCTATACCAGGGTTAATGCTTGGTTTGAACTGAAAATAAGTGACAAACTGTTGGAAGTGACAGAAATTTGCTTAATAACATTACCACTATAAAGCTCTACTGGACCCTTAGCATTGCTCTTTTTTTTATTGACTTCATTTCCAGTGGTGGACTGTAACTAAGTAGTTTTGCTAAAGTACTGCACTTTAATACAACTTTGAGGTACTTGTACTTATGTGTTTCGATGCTATGTTACTTTAAACTCATTTCAGAGGGGAAAATTTTACTTTTTATCCCACTACATATATCTGACAGATATTGTTTACAGTTGTGTATCTTACTTTTCAGATTAAAAGTTTACTTTACTCGTCAGGTTAAAAGTTCAATCCAAAAGATATGATCAGATATGAGCAGTCAAATATTAAGTATTTATTATCAATTAAACTACCCAACAGTTTATACAGTAGTTAAAATGACCACCTTGACAACAACAACAATATGCTGCATAATGAGTAGCCTACTTACTTTTGATCCTTTAAGTACATTTTGCTGTCAACAGCCTACTTCTGTACTTTAAGGGAAATTATTTAATGCAGACCTTTGAGCTTTAATGGAGTATTTCTATTTGTATGCTATGACACTGCTACTTTTATGTAACTAAATGATCTCCCATCCATGTTATGTAAATATCAGCGACACAGAAACACCAGCAAACAAGAATGAAATGAATGAAGAAAACCTGTTTTACAGTATTTCAACAGATGTTTTCAAATGCAAAAGGTGCAGGTACAGAGCAACAATCTTTGGAGAAAAGAATACAATTGATGCTGTGATATTTACTTTTCTGGCACATACAATATGTAAAGTATCAAAGTAACAAATAGCAAAGGAATACAGCACAAATTAAAGTTAAACATGTTCATAGTGCTAGCTGTAATTTGTATTTTGTTGTCCATTATGTCATGATTCAAAGAATATAGTCATTTGAACACAGGTTATGTTGTTTTCTGGAAATATTTGCTTTTGTTGCACGTTTTTAATGTGTTGTGTTGCAAACAAAATGTGTCATTTTGCACAGTGACATTCAGGCCCGTGTCTGTGAACTCCTGAATGGACAAATATGCTCAAGGCAAATGAGCAAACTGTAATTTCCTCTTTCTGTACACTGCTTTAGGGTGTCTCCATGCTGCTCCCTTCCTGCCTCCATGAGTCACGCCCGGTGCCTGTCACTAGGGGGCGCTTACGTCCACGCCGTGCAGTCCCACGCTGTTGCGTAAAGCGTCGATTGCCGAGTCATGGAAAAGCTGTTGTTTAACCTGCTCTCAGCAAGGACATCAGCGGTAGCAGCATGAGTACACACAGTTGACAGGTAGCGGTGACAGACACACAGCTGTATGTATCACATACTCGGACATACGGTCCGGCTCGTTATGAAGCGTCGCTTGTGGTAAAGCTGCGTAAAGCCGAGTCAGCTAGCTAACAGCTAGTTTTGTAGTGAACTGCTAACTTAGCTTCTGTGGACTAAACCTCTGTTACTGACACTGGAGTGTGTGCGTCGCTGAGGTACCTGACAAGTTGACAGCAACCGACAGGCCACTAAGGTAATGGTAATGTTACAACTAACAGCAGTGCATTAGTTAATGTGTGCAGCCTCTTAAATGATGTCGTAGTGGGTGTACTAACAGGTTACACTCCATTTGTCATCTCTGTGAAGGGTTTGTGTACGCTGCTCTGCCCAACCCATATGGCATTTTGGTAATGTGTGGCAAATGGGGTGGTGGTAATTTATAACCAGCGGCTAAAAGCAGGTGCAATGGTGAACTGTGAGACTAAAGATGTCACAGAAGTTCACAGCCTAATATAGCAGAGACCAGCAGCCAGCCAAGTTTGTGCGGAGACTCTGAACTCACTTACCTCTCCATTATCAGAAACTAATATGTCGTTTAAGCTGTTTCATTTAATATTCCCTGTTATTGTTGTTCTGTAGCTGCAGCCATGGTGTTCATGCAGAGCTACTGCGAAGCCAACTCCTCCATCTCCCACACCTGGGTGGATGAAGGCATCTCCCCCTGCTTCTACTTCACACTGGTCCCCACCATCCTGCTCACCATCGCCTTCTTCCTGGGCACCATCCACTGCATATTCTACAAGAAATATGGCACAGTGATGGAGCCCAAGTTCATCCCACGCTCCCGCCTCTACGGCTTCCAGCAGGCCGTCTCCATCCTTCTCCTGGTCCAGTTTCTGAGTGGGATGGTGTGGCGGGCTGCCAGCGGAGGAGAGCTCCCAGGCTATGTGGTGCTGTACGGCTGCTTCTCTGCGCTGGCCTGGGCCTGGGCTATAGCGCTGCTCAGGGTGGAGAGACGTAGAGTCCTGTTGATGGACCGGACCAGGGGCCACAGCACGGCCCTGCTGCTGTTCTGGGCTCTGGCTTTCTCAGCTGAGAACTTGGCCTTCATCTCCTGGTACAGTCCTCACTGGTGGTGGGCCCTGGAGAACAATCAACAACAGGTGAGGAAAAGATTGAATGTTTTAACCATCATTTTGAAAATAAAACCCCCAAAAAGACTGATCAAGAGTACTTGGACTTCAGTAGCACAAATCTCCAGGTTAAGAGTATTGTCAGATTGGGTTTAGTAAAAATATTTTACACTGCATACTGCTTTACTTCACTGCTGTCCTCTGTACCATGCAGCTTGTGTTATTTGGGTTATTTCTATACCTATCTATTCAGCTCACTTACCTTTGTTTCTCAACTGTTGATCCAGGAATGCACTGATAGCAGATGCCCTTATTCCTCATATGGATAATACTCATTCCATTATCATCTGTGTTAATGTTTTATGATGTCGATGGTGAGTGTTTTAACAGTCTAATGAGCCAAAGGTTAAGTATTTATTAAAGATGGGTGTGTCTTTTGACTCTCCCTGCTCAAAGCCTTCTTGCCTGTCTTGTTTCAAACATTACAAACTACCCGCCCAGCCATCAAAGAAAGAAAGAAAAGCTGGCATGCAAAACATCCATAACACCACTGAAAGGGAGTGCTAGACTAGAGCCTTTTTTTTTTTTTTGCTGAGTCATTGCCCAGTCTGACAAAATCTTGCCCCGCCCACACCAGTCAGCTGCAGTAGTTTTTAACCATGTGGTCATATAATTGTCAGCATGACTTAGTTATTTTTGTTCATCGTATTGTTGTTTGAAGGGTCCTTTGTATTCTTTTGTCTTTTGTATTCTAACTTAAAATGTAAAATGTTTATCCTACTGTTGGAGTATTTTACTCAATTTAAAACCCCAATTAAATTCTAAAGACCCCTTTTTGAAGAGTCAGAACTCCAGCTGGAGTTTTTCCCTTCTCCATGCACTTTGGAAGTAGGTGAAGAAACATTGTATTGATAACAGTAACTTGTGTGATAGTATGTTGACATAAGTTACTCAGAGGCTTGGTCATTGTTTGATAAATGACACATCTAATGCAGTCATCAGTATAGTTATTTTTCTCATACACGGCTGCATTATGAGCATTAAATGTACATCTCTCTGCTATTACATGCTGATTAACTGCAGTTTGGTATCTATATTGATCTGCTCTTGATTGTCTGTGAACCCCTCAGGTGCACTTTGCTCTTTGGCTGATGCGCTACATTGGAACCGGGCTGCTCTTCTTCATCGGACTCAAAGCTCCAGGGTTGCCACGGAGACCATACATGCTACTGATTAACGAAGATGAGCGGGACGTGGAGAACAGCGGACAGGTAGCGTGACGCACAAAAGTAAAAAGTAGTCAGAAGGTGAAGTACAGATACCTGAAAAACTATTTGTACTAGTAACAAAGTATTTGTACTTCGTTACTTCCATTATACGCTATGCAATGTTGTGTTTGGTATTTAATATATTAATCTCTATTAATCTCTATCTCAGAGTCTTTTGGGCAGAACAGAAGAGAACGAATCTACCTGGAAGGGTTTCTGGAAGAAAGTCCGCCTCCTTGCTCCCTACATGTGGCCCCGGGGGAACGTCGTCCTCCAGCTGCTGGTCCTCTTGTGTTTGGGGCTGCTTGGAATCGAGAGAGTTATTAATGTCTTTGTACCCATTTTCTACAGGAATATTGGTGAGTGATCTCTTTTTACCTTACCCTGTAGACTCAAATGTACATTTATATGTTAAATGTTGTGTTTCTGCAACTGCATTGCTGCAACAAGCCTGAGCCGCAAGCTAATAGTGGATTTAACTTATTCAGTTTGCGCCACAAGTCAAAAAACCCCAAGGTCCACAGAAAAACATGCCAAAACATAATGTTTAATATACACCTAGTGGCGTGCAGATACAGTATACTCATCAAGTTTAACACACACTGTTCCTCAGGATGTGTGATAAAATTGAGACATCCGTCTCCTGATAGTTACTGGCTCCAGAGGGCCGAGGACACAAAAAAATAACACCTTACAAATTTTACGTGTCTCATTTTATTGTCTTGTTTATCTACCATATCTTCAAGCCAAATGTCTGACTGTCTAACTTTTTTACTCATTTACCTTTATGTCTTTGTCCCGGTCTCAGTGAATGAACTGACTGATGGAAGCAGCTGGCACACTCTGGCTACTACAGTGTGTGTTTATGTCCTGCTCAAGTTCCTGCAGGGCGGCGGGGCAGGTAGGACCAACTCATTCATGCTCTGGATGCATAATGTAGAGACTGTCACAGAAAGACACACAAATACTTCACAAGTGATACTGCACATTTAGTGGAGAGTAGAGTTAAGGCCTGTTGATCACTTTCACCATTATCTCCTCCTCTTCCCAGGTGCCTCGGGGTTTGTCAGTAACATGCGCTCTTTCTTGTGGATCCGGGTGCAGCAGTTCACCAACTGCATGATTCAAGTGCGCCTGTTTGCCCACTTGCACTCCCTCTGTCTGCGCTGGCACCTAGGCCGCAAAACCGGCGAAGTGTTGAGAAGCGTCGACCGCGGCACCTCTTCCATTAACAACCTGCTCAGGTAGGATGGCGCTGGATGTGACGGAGGATAGCTTTGCTGCAACTATCCGGCTCATCAGATACTTTTTATTTTATATCAACATTCAGCAGAAAATTCCAGCCATGTAGTGGGACAAGGGTTCTTTCTGGAGCCATATTTTTCCTGCAATTGACTCAACTGTCACCTTTTTCCCCCCACAGCTACATAGTGTTCAGCATCGTGCCAACCATCACTGATATTGTCATTTCTATCATCTACTTCATCACTTACTTCAACGCCTGGTTCGGCCTTATTGTCTTTGTCTGCATGGCGCTGTACCTCAGTAAGTCCAAATTGAAGTGAATTGATAATCTTAAACAATGTGATTTAGTTTAGTTGAATGTATCCACAGATGAAACGTTCTCATTGTCATTGCCTGATAATGTTTCCACCAGCTCTGACCATCATCATCACCGAATGGAGGACCAAGTTCAGGCGGAACATGAACCAGATGGACAACAACGCCAAGTCCAAGGCTGTGGACTCCTTGTTAAACTTTGAGACGGTACATTAAACTCTTTGTCTGCAATCTGCCTTTTTGCTTCATGAAGAGGTTCCATTTATTTCAAGATGTCAAATGTTGTTCTATTTATTCTTTTGTCTGTTCAATAGGTAAAATACTACAATGCAGAGAGCTACGAGGTCAGCCGATTCGAGGACGCCATCTTAAAATATCAGGTAAGTCAGAGGTATTGGACAAGTGTCCATTTTGACCCTACTATTGGTCTACGTAGAGCTAAACAACACCATAATATTTTTGTAATAGCTGATGTGGTCACAACTTCCTCTGCTCTTTTACTTTAGCAGAATACTGAACACAATCTTTGCCATGAGAAGAATGTGCTGGTGTGCTCAGTTTGACAGAAGTCAAAACAAACCTCTGTGTCTAGTTACTGCTATCAGCGCCAAGCTGCACAAGATGCTGCGTGGAAGCAAATCAGAACGTTGCCAAACAGCAGATGGCCAAACCCCTCAAGGAAATATGATTATTTATGGCAGGTTTAGTTTCAAAACAAAGACAATAAGAAAAAGATGAATATAACACAGTTGCTTCCAGCTAGAACTCATTTTAGAAGCTATTTGTGCATGTTAATGTTTCTTTTTTTTTTTTTTAAATTGTCTATCAGTGTTCAGTGTGTGTATGGAAGTAAAATAGGTCTTAAACTACATTCATATGGTTATAAAAAAAGGTCTTAAATTTAACTTCTTTTCTCGTCCTGTTTTTAGGGGGCAGAGTGGAAGGCTCAGGCGTCGCTGGCCTTCCTCAACCAAACACAGAACATCATCATCGGATCAGGCCTGCTGGCCGGCTCCCTGCTCTGTGCCTACTTCGTGACTGAAGGAAAGTTTCAGGTACTAACACTTTTTTCATTTCTCTACTAGAACCCATTGAAACTGAACACATGATTGAGTTTGACTATGAAAAATCTCCTCTTATCCTAGGTTGGAGATTTCGTCCTCTTCGGTACCTACATCATCCAGCTGTACACCCCTCTCAACTGGTTCGGAACCTACTACAGGTAAGAGGAGGCAGAAATAGCGTAAAATGCATTGCACTGAATGAAGATCTGTTCACATTTATATTTAGTCCTGTGCTTTTGGGTAATTCTTGTCATTGTTGTTAACTCTTGTCTCTGTTTTTACTGCAGAATGATCCAGACTTCTTTTATTGACATGGAAAGCATGATCAAACTTTTTGAAGAAGAGGAAGAGGTACTTTTGAAACTGGTCTTTGTTCATGATTTTACTTTAAACACTGTATTATGACCCACTTTTTTTATATTTTCTCTATCTGTCCTCTTGTGCAGGTGAAAGATGAAGTAAATGCAGGGAATTTCCTCTACAAACTGGGAAAAGTGGAGTTTGAGAACGTTTACTTCAGCTATTCAAGCGGGTTGGTTCACATTTTGATTCTGTGGCCTGGTTGTTATCAACAAGATGTAAACCAACATGTAGATATTTTTATTTTTTTAAGACTAATTTCTTAGAGTTCCTCACTGTTTTACAGGAAGGAGATTCTCAAGGACGTTTCCTTCACAGTACTGCCAGGAGAGACAGTTGCCCTGGTAAGTCTAAGACACAGCTTTCCCCCTCTACTCACTCATACAGCTCTGATAGGACTGCACAATTACAATTTCGTGTTAACCTCCCCAGGTGGGACCATCAGGCTCTGGGAAGAGCACCATCATTCGACTCATCTTCCGTTTCTATGACGTTCAGGGAGGCTCCATCAGCATCGACGGCCAGGATATTTCAAAAGTAAATGTCTGGCACCAGAACTCGTACATGAGTACAAAATAATTAAAGTATAAATAAAGTATCGAGCATTGAGAAATACACACAGTACACTGTAACAATACATGTAAAACAGTACGTATGTGTGTGTGTATAAGCTTTACAATATAAGCAAATATCAGTGACATAGAAGGATAACTTAATATAACGCCACCAAAGCTAATTAGCAACTTCTCATATGCATTAAGAGGCACTGTACACCATTTCATGTGCAAACAAAGTCATCTAACTGCTATAAGCATAAATTAGCTCCTTGTTATGTTGCTCTTGAGATTACCAAGAGCAATATAAGCACAAGTTGCAATGTCTTGAATATTGCTTTATGCAGCTGTGTGTGCGTTCACGGGCACACTCTTGACTAGTAATTACTATGATGTCTTTGTTGTCTTTCCTCAGGTGAAGCAGACATCTCTGCGAGCGCATATCGGTGTGGTTCCCCAGGATACGGTGCTTTTCAACGACACCATCCAGAATAACATTCGCTACGGCCGTGTCTCTGCCAGTGACCAGGAGGTGGAGGAGGCTGCTATAGCTGCTGATATACACGATAAAATAATGACCTTCCCTGAAGGTAACTTATACATTAATCTGCCTGTCCTCAATGTCAGCATGGTGATTCTTGAGTCACAGTGCTGAGAGGGTTTTATTGTTTTTACCAATGAATCAAGTATAAAGTGGATGTTGAAAGCAATGTGACCAATATAAATCCCCTCACATGTTACCTCCTACCTGTATGTTTCTCTGGCAGCTTATGACACGCAGGTTGGTGAAAGAGGTCTGAAGCTGAGTGGAGGAGAGAAGCAAAGAGTTGCTATTGCCAGAACTATCCTCAAAGCTCCACAGATCATCCTGCTGGATGAGGTGAGATTACGGTGATATACAGACAGATCAACTTTGCCACATTGTTGCCCCTTTTGTATATTGCTGTTTATGACTCAGTTGCTGCTCGGGGGACCAGGTGAGAATGGGTGAAATTCGGGACAGAGGTGTTAGGGTTGCGTGTGGTCACGTATTCAGAGCAAGGATTAATAAAGCACAGCGTCCTGGCTCTGTTTACAAGACGCATGAACCATTATGCACAGGTGACAGGCTTGTGACATCATTGAAAAGGCAGGAAATATATTCCAATATATGATTGCCGCTCAGAGTTATTGCATTCCACGGCTCTTCTGCCAACAGCGCCGGGGGCCTCTCCCTCTCCTCTTGTGCCGTGCACAGGCACTCAGTAGGTGTGGTGGCATGTTTGACCTTCTCTCCCACTCTTTCTCTCTGGATTAGGGTGTTCCTTTAGCTAAGCCTACGTGTAAATAATAAAGTTAGTATTGTAAATATTTAAATAGTTAGTCCCCCTCCCCCCCTTTGTTGATATGTTTTTACCTTTTTGCTTCAAATATGTACAATGTCCCTGTAGTGAGTTTGTGATTATTTGGCTAATTATTAATGAGAAAACACCTTATTTTGAACCCTGATTGATCTATTAATTCATGTAGATGAACTGATACTTTAATGAAAGGATTCTGTCATTCACTGCTTTATTCTGGTGACAGCAGCTGCCTGTGGTGCATTTTTCATGACTTTCTGGCAGCACACCAAAATACACACAATACGTTCACAAGTCAAGTTGAGTCTCACAGCATACAAACAGCTCTCGTTTAGCTCAATCATATTATCTAATACTCTAACGGTTTAGTATTTCTGAGACAAACATGGTGGGATTTGGGATTCAGGACATCTAGTCACCCTAGTTGCTGCTCGGCTTTAACTTAAATGAATAGACTTTCAGACGTATGTTGCCTTGTTTCACTTTCATTTGAATGGCTAAAGTTATTGCTGTTATCTCCAGTTTTAACAAATGATGTCTCTCTGTGTCTGCAGGCCACATCTGCACTCGACACACAGACAGAACGCAACATCCAGGCCTCGTTGGCTAAAGTCTGTACCAATCGTACAACAGTTGTTGTAGCTCACAGGTAAGAGGTGCATGTACTGTAGGGTTTTTTTCTTAAAGGTTTTTTTTCTTGTGTTATTTAATAAGTCGTGTTAATCTCTTTATTTTAATATGAAAGGTTATCCACCATTATCGGAGCAGACCAGATTCTGGTGATCAGCGATGGCCGGATTGCTGAGCGAGGACGGTAAGTGTGCCTTATTGACCTGTCGTAGTCACAGTCGATTCTCCTTTTCAATGAACTCCCAAGTGACTCACTTCCTCTCCATCCAAGACACGAGGAATTGCTACTCAAGGGAGGCCTGTATGCAGACATGTGGATGAACCAGCAGCAGAGCCAGGACTCAGATTCCTCGTCAGAGTCAGAAACCAAAGACCGCAAGTCTGAGAAGCTGCAGCCGCCATCAACCTCCTCAGGGCACCACGGCCACTGAATGTACTTATTTTTGTTTGTTTGTTTTTATAAAAGCGAACTCTACATTTTGATTCCGCCCTTAATTGTAAAATGTTGATGGATGATTTTAACATGAAGGAACAATCAGCAAGATGTTATTTATTTTTTATAATTTTCTTTTGCCTGTGTAAGTTTAAGTAATCTATGACATCACGTATATAAAGATACAAAAGGGACACACACAAAGAAGCGCAGCCTCAGCACTACATTTTGATGAATTTAGGGGCTAATGATTCTGCTGCCCACTGAACAATATCATCAAAGACAATAGGTTGGTGTTAGAAGCTGTCATTTTGTTTTATTTAGCTTAGTTTTAAAGTTTTTGATAGTCGATTTCGGAGCTCTGTTGTTATTTAAAGTGGTACTTTTTTTAAATATAAATCTGTAAGCCTCTTTGCACTTAGGTAAACCAGGTTGTGCTGCTTGTCTGATCATTGTGTTCTCTTCATTGTTGGTGTCTTCTTCAGTGGTTTACTTAATACACAGAAAGTGAAGATCAAACTTGTCAATCGTGTGAATTTTCTAAAACAGTTTTTTGACTGGCTGATTCTTTACATATAAAGTTGTACAATCCACGTCTGCCTATTTCATTAAAAACAATAGACATTTCTGATGGCAGATATTTTTGCTAGTTTCACGGACATAATAGAGTCAAGTTATTTATTTGATCTGTTGCTACTCAAAAGCTCATGCAGTTACAATACCCACAGTATTCTCACTTAATGTAATATACGAGTATATACAGTCACATACACTATACTATGAATAGGGATTTGCCATATCTACCTCATAAAAGGTATTGTTCGTGATTATTACATTTTGTAAATATTCTGTTTCTTGGAAAAATAAAAGTTTTCTTTTTGCATGTGTTCTAGTTTGTAAAAGTCCAGTTTTGATCAGATCATGTTAACTTACAGTTTCTGTATGCATCCATATGATAGCTATTTTACAGTTATGTGAGGGCTCACATGGTGTTTTAAAGTATGGTACAGAATTATTTAATTGTAAGGATGGAAAATACTTGTGACTGCACAGTTTTTGTTTAATTAGAAAAATATTTTACCGGTATGTAATGCAGACTTTATATAAGGCAAATCAACGGAATCTGATGCCATTTATCAATAAAACGCCTAAACCTGCATAGAAACATCACCAGTAAGTTAAAAATAAACGTGTCATTTGGCCAATGGGAGTTTACAACTGTTGTGTAACTGCTCCACAGCGCGCCCCCCTCCCACTCCCAACATCTGTCTGGAATGAGAGGCAAACAGCTGGAGGCTTCAGTCGTCACTGACTGTCCCCGGTCAAGGCGTGTTGTTAGCTGAGTTCTAGCTGGTAGCTAGGCGGGGGCCAAGCAGTCGTATTCTCAACATTTGGCTAACTGATGTTGAATCTATAGTAGATATGGATTTCGACGCTTTATTTAACGAAAAGACATTTCAGTTTTCGGACTTCGAGGAGTTCACGGTATGTTCTTGAGTTAAAACGACGCTAGCTCAACTATCACGGAAGCTAGTGAACGCTAAGCGCCTTAGCGAAGTTAGCTGACATTGCTAAATGACAGCTAGTGAAGTTAGCTTCCGAATATGCTGGCCGAGGACATTAACTAGCTAATACCTAGCTAAGTTAAATTGAATAGTGTTTTTATTTCAAGCTATATAATGCGTCGTTTAAAATATCTATCTATAAATGGGGGGAAAAGCAGCGCTAGCTCATATAGCTAGCCAGCGCTAGTAGTTTGTCAGCTAACGTTGCTGTCATTTTACACTACGGGCGTTAGCTAACGTTATACGGTATGGTGTATGGTGTACGGGGAACAGCTGCGGAAGTATTAACTTTTAAAGTAATGCGGCGCTGAGTATATAGCTTTAAAACTGTAGTTCATATAGCGAATGTTATTGCTTTTACAGTTTCTTCCTGGACACCAGAAGTTGACTGAACGGGTGAGAAAGAGACTGTATTATGGTCTGGACAAGGACGTTTCTCTAGATGCCCTCTCCTGCCCAGTTACAGGTGAGTGAAATGTTACATGGAGTTAAACTGGGTTAAATAGTAACGTTACCAAGAACTGCGCTCCTCTCTGACGCACTTTCATAACAAATACTGGTTGTGCAAGTCTCTCTTCTGGCTTCCTATAAGTCAGTGTCAGGAAAAGATGATTATCTGTATTAACTTATATGAAACATTTTTGGAAACTGTAAGGTTGTGCTAGTATGTAACTAACATGTTAAATGTACAGGATTCATTTATGAACTTTAATAGATTGAGGCAATCACATGAGTTCACTTTTGTCTTTATTTTATTGGCAAATTCCAGATATTGCCGTCGAAATCTTCCAGAAGTCTGCCCCAAGCCCGATACGAAAGCTTCAGAAGAAGTATGCTGCTCATGTTTCCAGGTTTGTGCTGCCGATTACGCTCGTATGCACAGATTACCTTTTCTTAAAGGAACTAAATAAAGCACTTCCAGTCAAACATCTAAAACTGATCTATTTTCTGCTTCAGGGAGGCTTGCATCTCTCCGTGTGCCATGATGCTGGCTCTAGTTTACATAGAAAGGCTCCGACATAGAAACCCTGAATACCTCCAGAAGATCTCCTCCTCTGACCTCTTCCTGATCTCCATGGTATGTGTGTTGGGTTCAGAGGTCATTCTAAACATGTCACAGTGTTTTTTTTCTAGCATGTTTGCTGCTCTTTTCAGAAGGAGTTTAATGCTTTTTGTTTTTTGGATCGTTTTCTGCTGTTTTATGTAATAAATACATGATAATGATAATGATTTTGCATTGACGAACGCACTGATCTCTCGCTTTGAAATAGATGGTTGCCAGCAAGTACCTGTATGACGAAGGAGAGGAAGAAGAGGTTTTCAACGATGAGTGGGGAGCAGCTGGGAAGCTGGACGTCAAAACTGTCAATACCCTGGAGATGAACTTCTTGAATGCCATTGTAAGTGTGTGTGTGTGTGTGTGTGTGTGTGCGCGTGCGCAGTTGCATTTTAAGTGGCGTGTGCTTACATGTTCAAGTTCTTCGTCCCAACCATTGTGTCATATCTTGCAGGAGTGGAGCCTCTTCACAGAGCCAAATGACTTATTTGATATACTAAGTCAACTGGAAACCAGGTTGGTAGACTACACATTACACTAAAATACTGTCAGTAAGAACTATTCATCCCCAAAAGTGGACATTAACTTGACTTTTCAAGAGTCAAACGCCTTCTCACACTTGCTTTGGTTCAGTGTTGTGACACAAAACATGAAGAAGCAGGCTGAATACCTCAGCAGCACTGTAGTGGCATAACCGGTTTGTGTGTATTCCTGACTGTGGCCTCTGTATCGTCAGGATTGCAGAGCGGCAGGGGATGAAACGCGGCTGGTTCACCTACACTGACCTCTGTGTGCTTCTGGAGCAATCGGCATGGAGTCAAGCCCTCACAGCCATGTACCAGCACTTGACCAAGGTGAGACGGGGATATGAGTTGAATGGAGCTGGGTGGATGATTCTTTTTATAACTTACGACCACACAAACATTGTAACAACCGTAGTAAGTCAAACTGTAAAAGGGGAATTGGATATTATAATTGCTAATACGTTAAGTTTGATGATCAGATTTGACCTCATTTAATTTTCAGGTATCCTGCATGCTCAGCCTCGTCTATCTGACCAGTGTAGCTGGCCTTATCGCCACCAGTGCTGTGCTGCACCAGCTCAGTCTCTCCAGAAGCAGCCAGCCCCTGCTTCCAGCTCCAGTTGAGATCAGCCCAGCCCACCTCCAGACTTCCAACCTGAACTCAGAAGCTCCGTCTGCAGCCCAGCGCCTCCCCTGTTGTGTCCTGGCCAACAAGAGTCTGAACCGCCAGACTGGTGCGCTTGGAATCGACCAGCACCACGCACAAAGCCCCCCATCGGCCTCCTCACAGACATCAGTGTTGTGTCTCTGGGGCTCCCTCCTGGCCTCAATGGGTCACATACATCCCGAGACAAATGAGAAGGAGACTCCCCAGACTTGGTCTCCTGCCTCCTTCTTCTGTCCTGGCTGTCTTGCAACCCTCCCTCCTCTCCAGTGTGGGCTCAAAAACACCTCGTCACTTTCCACTCAAGGTTCCCTTTACCATCAGCATCATGCACCGTGGCTGGCCTCCAGCCTTCTTGCAGGACCAGAACCAAGTCTGAACTCTCGCCTGGGTGTGTTACCCCCTGTACAGCTAGCACCCTGCCACCCAGAGTCTATGTTACCTGTCAGCAAAGCCCAAGCTCTGCTCATGCCCGGCTAGCGGATGTACCAACTCCCCTGCTGTCAAACCTGTAGTTATAGACTCTGGAAATGAAACCAGCATTGTTTTCATGACTCATCAAATCCTCAAAGTCATGTTTTGTTTACTTTTCCAGATCTAGAGTACAGGTGCAAGGGGCACGAGCAGGCACATTTGGGGCAGGGTGAGAGTTTAATAACGCAGCACAATGTGCAAATTCACTTACAGTTCACTATTGCAGAATACATTTGCCATAAGTAAAACGCCATAGTGTTCAGCTAATGCTCTGCGATCTGTTTTTACTGCACAAAAGGTGTCCCGGAGTTTGAGGGTAATTTGCTATGTTTTTCTCGGCTGCAGCCGAACTGTTTCGCGGGCCACATTTATCATTGTTTGAAAGTTCAGAGCTGTCAGATGGCGATGCAGGGCCTTTGCGAAGAGCGTGTTTTGAGTTATTTTATCACGGCCGTAATACCGCAGCTGCTTGCTACTCGGCCGGTTGATGAAGGCGTGTGGAGGTTTCACAGCATATCTGAATGTTGAGAGTTTCACAGTAGGTTTATGTTATGACGGGGGTCTTTGAGAGGAAGGGACTAAACCAGTTTACTTTGTTGGCTATGTTAAGGCTTTTCCATATTCGCTTAGTGTAACCATATATCTTTCATTTACGCATAAGGAGCTCAACATCAGACATTGGTCATACACATACAGCAAGCACTGATTTTGTACACCAGGTAGGTTTTGTTACTGTTTGTGAAACAGATCTCCTTCTGTCCTTGTAAACTTTAAAGATCTTCCATCTCCATACCTCAGTGGAACTGTCACTGGCCTCATTCGTAGCATTTTGCCACTTAACATTAAAGCCACTTTTCTGTAACAGGGTGACATTTAGCCAAATTTAAGAGATTAACTTTAAGGTTCCGCTCTCCGAGGGGAAGAAGGTGTGTGTAAAAAGGATGGGCTCCTGGGGTTGGGTTGGGCTTTTTGAAGTGTATTTTGAATAGAACCTGTCACATGTTAAAGGCTAACACCAGTGTTTCTGTGTTGATGCAGTCCGGAATTTGCACATCTGACCATGTCATTGCTTTGATTTCACTCCATCATTACTGCATTGTCGAGTATCTTTTGAACACCAGAGGGAAATGTGAAGAATTGATTACTTTTTATGTAGACAGTTACATATGGTCCCCAGGACATTTTACTTTGTAATTGAGCCTTTCACAAATGGCTCTGAGCATCTGAATTTGATACACTTTGAAGCATGAAGTCCTTTTAATTTTGTACATGGTGTAAAATGCAAATATTGTACAAATCTGTAGAAAAACCAAGAGCTAATAAAGAATGCATTTCTTTGTGACATTTGCTCATTCTTGTCTTTGTCAACAACACACGGTGAAGCCCGGGAGAATCAGCATGTGAAAGGCACCACTATCGACTGTCAGCAGTACGCTTTCTATGTTTGGACTCTTCCAAAGACCTTTACTGTGTCTAGCCTTGACATTTCCTCTGTACACTGTGAGTTCATGCCATTTTAATTTCTGACATAGGTGGGATTGTACCTTCTCTAGAGGCCTTGATAAATCACATAAGCCCAGTTTTTCTTTAAGGACAAGTTCTACGCCAGGAGTTCCAGCTCCTGTGTGCTACACCCCTCTGCAGCCAATAAATACTGACAAATGAAGGCGACCCGAGCTGGCTGCAGGCGTTATAAAACAGATCGAGGATGCGTGTTGAAAGCCAGCGCATTCCTTTAAACAACGGAGCGAGGCAACGACTGTTGTGTTTTACAAAGACGGGAAGCAGATGTCTGGATATGGCAGAATCTGAAGTGTCCCTCCCCCTCTCTTCTGAGCCTGTGCCAGTTTCTTTTATCCCTCCCCTACACCCGTCCATGTCACATAGCACTCCAGAGCTCCTAATATAGAACCAACCGCTTTGTAGGAGAGGGTAACTAACTGAGTGGAGTCGCCAACAGTTTGTGAGTTTTCTGCTTTGAAAACTTTTTCATGGACACAACGGGATTATGGAACCTCTCTCACAGGTGAAATGTTACTTTGGAATGAATATAACAAGGGGAAAGTGATTAAACTGTTAGTGGAAGCAAGAAAAATTAGTAGCCTGGATTCCAAACTATTTTGACTATGTCATGTGGAGACTGTTTGGCTTGCTGTGTTGTAGGTGTCATTCCCAAAAAAGAAGCAGGAAATACAGAAACAAGGTACGATTACATACATGTGTGTTTGTAAATAACATGGAAGTGTATTGTCTGTGCTCATGCAGTTGAATATCAGGTCTTTACTCAGTCAGTGTGATCAGCTGTTATAGTATGTGATTCCCCACAGAGGCTGATGCCACCGTCTACATGAATTTCATGAAGAGTCACTGCTGCTATGATGCCATTCCAACCAGCTGTAAACTGGTCATATTTGATACCACACTGCAAGTAAGATTAGTTCACACATCCAGTATTTTCAGTGAGAAAACTGTTTTTTTTTATTTGCTTGTGAACCCTCACTCTGTGTACATCTATTACTTCCAAAGGTTAAAAAGGCCTTTTATGCACTGGTGGCAAATGGCTTGAGGGCTGCGCCTTTATGGGACAGCAAGTTACAAAGATTTGTGGGTAAGGCGAGGGATTAATGGCACAGCCGCAGTGAAGTTTCGGTCACTGTGAATTACACTAATGGGAGAACATGAATCATTTTCTCTTGCAGGTATGCTGACTATTACAGATTTCATCAACATCCTCCATTGCTATTACAAGTCCCCTTTGGTGAGCATGAATGCGCCACAGTTTAAGCTTTGTGTGTGTGTGTGTTATAGATTATTATATAAAATTGATTTGATCTGTACTTATTGACTCATCTGTGAAGGTTCAAATGTATGAGCTGGAGAACCACAAGATTGAGACATGGAGAGGTGACTCATTTAAAAGTAAATAGCAAACACATTTATGATGTTATCTCTGCGTACACATCTTGAATTTCCATGAGAGCTATTTCTCCTTCTTTCTAGACGTCTACTTACAGTGTTCCAATCCCTTCCTCATTAGTATCTCTCCAGAGGCCAGGTGAGTGCGCTCTCAGATCAAATCTTTGATGCTATTTTATCTGTTCTTCATCTGCCAGGCAGTAAATTCCTGTTCTCTCGTCTACCGTTTCCTCGTAGCCTCTTTGAAGCCATCTATTCCTTACTTAAATACAAGATCCACAGGCTGCCGGTCATCGATCCAGAGTCTGGAAATGTCCTGCACATTCTGACCCACAAGAGAATCCTCAAGTTCCTCCACATATTTGTGAGCAAAAGCTTTAACTCGGATGTTTTAGCGTGTGGTTCAGCCTCAGATATAACCTTGCCATGAAAAAAAGGAGCTGAACGTAAGGCGGTGTTTTGATGTTTTCAGGAGAAAAAGGTTTCCAAGCCCGCATTCATGGGAAAGCAGATCCAGGAGCTCAGGATTGGAACGTTCAGGAACATTGCCACTGTTCAGCAAACGGCAACGCTTTATGACGCCCTCTCCATTTTTGTGGAGAGGCGGGTGTCTGCGCTGCCTGTGGTGGACGAACAAGGTATGCTCTTTTTATTTTTTGACATTAGAGAGCTGTATTTATTGGTATTGATGGGTATTCTTTCTTTTCTAAGGCAAAGTGGTGTCACTCTACTCAAGATTTGACGTGATTGTAAGTACCATAGTGTCTCTTTACTCCCTAACACCCTGCAGCTTCCTTCCATCCTTGCCGATAATAAACTGGGGTGTGTATGTTTGCTCCATGGCAGAATCTGGCAGCCCAGAAGACTTACAACAACCTGGACATGTCTATGCGGGAAGCCGTTTGCATGCGCTCCTGTTTCTTTGAAGGAGTAATCAAGTGCTATCCTGATGAAACCTTGGAAACCATCATAGACCGCATAGTCAAAGCTGAGGTATGCATTTCCTTTAAAAGGTCTCAAAAATTAAAATCATAGAAAGACTGGAGAACATTCTTTCCGTGTCTTTTCCCTGCTCATCCCAGGTCCATCGTCTGGTCCTGGTGGACAGGTCTGACGTGGTGAAGGGCATCATCTCTCTGTCCGACCTGCTGCAGGCCATGGTCTTAACCCCTGCAGGTATTGACGCCCTTTTGTCCTAGCACCAGAGGACACAGGGTCCCCTTCCCTCCTTTACCACCTGTGTAGGCTTGAGTCCTGGCCGTGTACCCAGCCAGGTAGGCTCTGGAGCCTGTTTTCCCACCCACAACAACCCCCTCCCACCCTGTTGTCTGGTAACCAGCACCCAGAGGCCTTAACCCCACATGTCCTCCTTTAATGTGCACCCAACAGAGATCCTCATGCTGCTTTCACGCTGTTATGTGCAAATGACCAAATCTTTGCACACAAAGACATGCATGCGCTGCTTGACTGGTGCTTTGCAAGCAAGATTCGTCTCTATTTTCTGCTCCTGGTGATAGTTGCGGAGTAGAATGATGGTGGCTTTTGCTTATGTCTTTCAGAAATCAACCTGAAGTGAGAGCTCACGTGAGGAAGACAAACGCTGTGCCGCTGTTTACATTAAGGTGTCTTACAGGATCTATGTGCTGTGGTCATGTAACAAGAATGGACAGTGAGTGGACTTTGATACTAATGAATCTTTATAGGTCTCCAGCACAGTGTCCACATTGGCTGCATTTGATCAAATTGATCAATATATGTTTACCCAATACTGTATATTTCTGTATTAAATGTTTGTATCACAACTCACTGGTGTTTTCCATGTATATTTCCTGGAGAAATATTAAAGCTGGAGTGTGATTTTATAGAAGATTATACACAATATAGATAGGATAGATTATCAGTAATAGTAGATGCAGTAGTAGAAGTAGTGGCAGCTGGCGATGTCCTGAAGGAGATGGAAATTTTTTGATCCTCTTTTGTTAAACCTCTAGGCGTTTCTATGGGCCAGGATTTTAATCATGTTGAGAAAGTACCTAGCAGATATTGAGATAATTACTCATGAATACATTTATTACCTCCCATCTTGACTTAGCAGGACATCCCTGAACTGCTTGTAAGTGGCCCAAAATGCTGCTGCCAAGCTTCTGACCAAATCCTCTGAAAGGTCTCATGTAACACCAAACCTGATTTCTTTTCTCTGCTTTCAAAGTCGGAATCCAGTTCTGGTGATCACGTTTAGAGCCTTGCATGATCAGGCACCTGCCTATATTAAAGAGCCACTGCAGCCTTATACTAGCAGTAGGGATCTGAGGTCCTCTGATCAGGATTTGTTTTCACTCCTGGCTCGAGACAAAAGGAGACTGTGCTTTTGAGTTTTCAGCTGCTAAATATTGGAGCTCTCTCTCCCATTGGACTTAAAAGCTGTGGACACAGTGGGACACCTTTAAAAAGCAGCATTTATTCAGACTTGCTTTTGTGTAATTAGTTTTGCCTCATGTTTTTTAGCTGGATTTCTGCATCTAATGTCTAATGCTCTGTCTCTAAACTTGCTTTTACTGTCTTTTATTGTGAAGCACTTTGTGACGTCTGCTCTTGAAATGTGCTATATGAATAAACTTACTTACTTACTTACTTACTGTTGCAGGTCTTCAGTGTTTTACCATTATGCAACATTCAATGCATGCAGCAGTATCCCCAGCCACAAGGTGGTACACTTGGGCTTTATGCTTTAACCCCCATTATACAGTAAACAAGGAAACACGTGACTATATGTTTTTTTTCTCATCCGTGACGGGCCTTGTGATCCGTCCGCCCATCTGTGTCAACTGGTACATCAAGTTGCCAAAAATAATCAAGCATAAGGCCGGAAATTGATATTGCCTTCAAAGTAAGATACGCTTACCTGACCTAAAATCTCAATTTTTAATTAAATTATTGACAATTATTATATTAAACATGAAGTTATCTGTAGAAACAATATATGTATAGGTTTTGTAGTAGAGTATGTAAACAGCATCATGTTGTGTAAGCTGTGTTGGTTTAATCAATCATGAATGTATACATTTATGGTATAACTTGAGTCATCTTTTACCAAAACATTTTCTTTCTCTTTCATGTTCACATTGGTACTCCTGGTACTCCAACCTATTTTGTGTGTTTGGTTTTATATTGGTCGTGTCACGATTGTGATTACATTTTTCAAAATGCTTATTTTAATTAACTAAATAATACATTTTCTCTAGTCGTCGTTCGCTTCGGTCGGTTTTATTTTGAAAGTCGTAGACGGAAGCCCTTACTTTTTTTTTTATACGTGTGTCGCACTTGACGCCGATCTTCCCATATACCCCGTGATAGCCAAAACAACACAACAAAGTGGGGGAAAACATGGCGAGCGAAGAGGAGGCTAGAAGACGCCCCTCGGTTACCTCGTCTTCGGTCGGCCTGGAGTCTCTGTTCCCTGCAGGGTCCTCGGAGCAGGCCTGCGGGGACTCAAACCCGGAGCTCGTCCGCCTGCGGGAGCGTCTTCAGGGTTGGCTATCGCAGTATGAGCCCCTGCTGCTATGGTTGCAGAGGCTGCTGGTCTGGGAGAGGCCGTTGTACAGCATCTCTGTCGCCCTGACACTCAACACTTTATTCTGGTAACCGTCGAGTCCGTGTTTCCCCCCGGTTCCCCCCGGTTTCCCCCCGGTTTCCCCCTTCCTGACAGCTCATTGAGGTTGCATTGGACACCGTTAGCTTGCTGGCTAACGTCAGCGAGGATATTGCGAGTGAATGTCAAGTTAAGTTAGCTAATCCCACGTCTTTAGCCTCATGCTAACGTAGCTTGCAAACCACTTTAAACTTCATTCCCAGCTCGGAAAACGTGGCGTCATGCATTAAACGCCACCAGGAAACAACATTAATGCGCTGACAGAACAGACAACCGGAGTTATTTGGAGTTGTTACACTTGTTGGCTTTTCTTCGGCTTAATCCCAACAAACACTCATGTCATGCTGAGTGGCCCAGGCCTTGTTAAGCAGCTGTCAGTAGCAGCTAACTACCGGTGCTATGTACATATGTTTAATCTAACTTGGAAGTGAGATACGTGACAGTATATGTGTATTTATTATTATAGGGGTATGAGTTGAATATAAGCCAATTGGCACGCTGTTTATCTGTCTCCACAGGCTCCTGTCATCCACCTCCCTGCGGCCTCTGTTCCTGTTGAGTGTGTCCCTGCTGGGACTTATGCTACTGGAGAGATGGAAGCCCAAGTTGCCCATCATTACCGGTAAGCCTTTATGGAATCTGAATCTGCTCCACAGGCTTTGTCACTCATTGCCCAAGCAAATGCCTCCCAGTTTCTGAGCTTACTAAAATCTATATTTGTTGAACACTGTGCCTTCACTGGATGGAAGAGCCTGCTGAGTCAGTGTGTGTTTATCTGCTTATTTTAAAATATATTTTTATTCGACTTGCATTACCAACCATCCTGGTAGGGGGCTTGTTTTCCAGTAGAGACATTGAATTGTTCACAGTCATGATGATAATATAGAAAGTCCTTCTTGAATATTCAACAAAGGGTGTTCACTTTATATTGATATTTGTAACAACACAAGTCTTATTGTATTGTTTTTGCCTTGGCAAGGTGGGTAATCCTCAGACAGAGGTCTGTAGAACTACTGAAAATCACCGCTGTTATTGTTGGTATTATGTCTGAGGTCATTCGTACTGCATTCTAATGGAGCTAAGGTTTTCCCACACACAAACAATGTGGTGTATCTCAGTAAACATGTCATCAAACACAGATGTGGCAAATTACACTTTTCTACGCACTGAGGCTCACAAGCACAACTTTTAAAACAGCATTTGTTTAAGAACCTTTTCCCCCCTTGAGGTTCTGTGATAATCCTGAAAAACTTGTCATATGATTTGTTTACTAAGACACATTGCTGGTTCCTGATCTGCTGCTAATTGTGTGTTTTTCTCCTGCTGCAGTTCAACATGCAGAGGCTCACCCTGTACAAAGGTGTGTAGTGTGTGTATATGATAAACACATTACCTGTTATATATATATATTGTTCATATCCTGTTTTAATTCAAAACAAGACCTTCAATTTAGGCTACAGCCCTGATGTGGTGTTGTATTTGTGTTCATCCGTGTGCATCTTCATCCCTCCACTGTCACTGTCACATGAGCATGGAATCCCACACTACCACTCTGCAATGATTTAAATACAACCTGCAGCACCTTTAAGTATAGATCTCAGTTGTTTACAAGTGTTGATTTTGTCACTCCCTTCCTGTGTTTGTTTGCGTGTGTACTCTTGTTTGCATACAGCGAAACCATGAGCGCGGAGCAGCGTCTCCTCAGTATCCCCGAGCTCAGCCACCACCTGGCTGAGAGCTACCTGACCTGCTGCCTGTACCTGCAGGAGATGCTGCAGTACAAACGACAGAACCACGGCAAGGTACAGCACTTTGACTCACAGGGAACCGGAGCCAACAATATAGCTGAATAAACAATAAATAACGTAGATGTCTACCTGGCGGACTAAAAACTGTAATTGTTAGCATGGGAATCTACGCAGCACGATGCACACTGTCTGATGTCTGCAGGTGCTGCGGTGGCGAGAACTCATCCAGACATTCTTCGTCTATCATACACAGACGCACCACACACCTGCAGAGATGCTGCTTTTTCACTTCCTCATCTTGTAACCCCCCCTTTGTAAGGTGTAGCTGCCTAATTTCTCTTGCTCACTCTGTTTCCCAGTTCTGTGTGATGATGTGCAGTGGCTGTTTTGTACTCGCCGTGGTCGGACATTACGTACCAGGAATCATGATCTCCTATATTATAGGTGAGTCACCCCTTTCCTAATTGATAAAAAAAAATAACCTGTTGCACTAAAGCCCTGAACTTCCATCGGATTGTGTACTTATCATGACAAACAGAGGGTGCTGTCTATATTAGGTACTAATAGCAGTTAATGGAGTAATTACATTCTGTTGTGGTTTTGCATTTACTGGATTTACTAAATATCGAGATATGCTTTTGGTTCATTTAAATATCTAATAGATCATACTTTTTTAAATTTGTAATCTGGTTTTCACGATCTGAGCACTTTACACAGGAAATCAGTCAATTAAAGGAACTTTACAACAACTTTACAATACAGTTCAGTCTGCATTTGATACTGGTGTAGAATAAGGGCAGTATAAAGTTGTCAGTGTTCTGTCTTTGCACCCGTTCAGTCCTGAGCGTGCTGCTGTGGCCGCTGGTGGTGTACCACGAGCTGATCCAGAGGATGTACACGGGCTTGGAGCCGATCCTGATGAAACTGGACTACAGCATGAAGGGCGATACCGAGCACCGCAAGCACGACAAGAGGAGTGAGTGCTACTGTTACACCTTCCTTCAGGCTACGGATACAGGCCTCACTTGTGTGCTGCACATGAAATGAATCCGGCAGCTATTAAAACACGCGCTTGTGTTTGTAACATTAATACAGGACATTAGCATATGAGAAGGAAGTGTTACACGAGGAGATTGAGTTTGGAATTGACGTAGATCACCTTTTTTCCCCCCACTTACTGATACCCAACCTGAGACATAAAACCATGCAAATACAGAAAGAAAAGCCTTTGCAACACCACGTGTTACATTGTGTAAATAGAACGGTGTTGAATATCAAGAGAGTGCGATTATAAGATCCTCTGGTTATATTTGTACCTAGATCCCATATCTCTGTCTAAAAGCATGCCTACACATATACTGTTGCTCTTTCTAAAGCCGTAGTATAAAACAGAGTGCCACTCTGTGTTTTAATCAGTTCTGAATTCCCTTCTCCGGGGTGACATTTCAAAACCTGTGTTTTAACAGAGGTGAAGAAGGAGATGGAGGAGGGGGACGAGCCAAGAGCTGAAACGGAGAGCGAGAGCGAGGAGGAGCTGTCCTGTTTCGCCCCGACGGTACGGACACACACCGGGAAACTCAACCCACAATCCACTGCGACACACAGTAGACTTTTAAGAGGGTGTGTGTATAGCATACGACCAACAGAGGAAGCAGCAGGATAGCGGGGAACAGAGAGTGGGTTGTCCGCTTTATGTGTGGTTTAGTAAATGGCTTCAAGGGAAGTGCTACCACATTCCATTAGTACAACTATAGCACGCACATAGTTCCTTTCAGTAACTGACCATTTGAATGTAATGTCAGGTATTCAGTCTCTATGCAGTGTCTATGGAATGAAATAAGACCTGCAGAGCACAGTGTAAACTTTAAGAATTTAAAGGTAAATAACTTGTTTACTGCTGTGACTTTCAGCAGTGATGTAACGCTGTGGTTTTGTCGGTCAGGTGGACGTGAAGACCACGGCTCTGGCGATGGCCATTACGGACTCTGAGCTATCAGACGAGGAGGCATCCATCTTGGAGAGCGGAGGGTTCTCAGTGTCCCGAGCCACCACTCCCCAACTCACTGACTTCTCTGAAGGTAAAAGATCGTATCAACGTCACTCAGTTGTAGAGCCTGACCGATATGGTATTTTCAGCTAAAGAACAATAAGAAGGAAATACTGAATTTGTCAAAGAAAGACCATTAAGTTTGTATGATGGTTAATAAAATGTTGTCCATAAAATCTGTCACTTGCTTGTCAGTTGACTTAGATTTCTTTTGCTGGCTCCTCTCTACGACAGACCTGGACCAGCAGAGTTTACACAGTGACCCGGAAGAGTCCTACCTGCGGGATCTCCCAGAGTTCCCCTCAGTTGAGGAGTTCCCGTCCATCGAGCACAACCTGCTCCACTTCCCACTGCGGGGACCGGGCCAGGGCGACGGAGGCCAGGCCGGCGCTCAGTCAGAGGGGGAACTGTTGAGCCCCGCCAGCCTCCTTATCCAGCACCTAGCATCTCCGCTCCACTTTGTGAACACGCACTTCAACGGACATGGACGACCACCTGGGGGCGAGGAGGGCATGTTGCCCGTGCCAACTGCAGGGGCGGAAGCGGGGAGGCAGGGAGAGGATGCCGCAGCAACCCAGGACACACAGCAGTCTTTGGAGGCCTTGAGCGAGGAGATAGTGAGCACGGCCATCTCCACCGTGGTGCAGAACACACTGTCAGCCCTGTTGCGCTCTAGCGAGGCCAGCGAGGACCCCTCCCTGGCCGAGTTCCTTCCCACTGAAACCCCACCAGGCGCTCTGGAGACCTCCGCCCAACCCACCGACACCACTGCTAACACTACAATTACTACAATAGGGGCGCTGGGGTCCGATGAGGACCTGGATGAGGCGATTACGTCAGAAAGCGGCGCAGGCGAGGAGATGCCCGACGACACACTAGTTCCGACCGAGGAAGAGGACTTTGAGCTTCTGGACCAAAGTGAACTGGAGCAGGTGGACGAGGAGCTGGAGCTCAGCTCTGACAGACAGGTGGTGGGAGGAGCTCCAGAGACACCTCCATCTCAGCATCAACCACAGTCATAGCTTCCCCGTTGCCTCCCCCCATGCCCCCCACCTCCAACTGTTTTGTTTTTATTTGTACGTTAGAAATACATTATATCCATACATACTGCTATATACAAAACATTTATCAAGAGCGTGGCGTTTAATACTGTTGGTTGGTGATTGTGTGACAGATGGTTGAGATTACTCGGTGTGTTCTGCTTTCAAAGCCTCACATTAGAAGGGTCTGTCGAGCCTCGGTACCGGAGTCATTTCTCGTCCAGGACCATCACATTATCGGGATCATCGGCTGCTATCAGGCGGCATTCACACTGACACAAGCTTTGATGTGCACACTTGCATACACAAACAGAAATCAAAAGTAATGCATTCGCGGTAGAGTTTTTCTTTTTCTTTTTGTGGTGTTCCACTGCTCGCTCGCCTGATGGTACCTTGGTCATGAGAGCAGGTTCAGGGCGGAACCGGCTTGGGTTCACAGTCCGAGAGACATCATTATTGTCATGGGTTGCAAAGCTGTTTCTCTCCGCCTGATCATCTAGCATTGAGATGAAACGGTCAACCCTGTCCCACGTCCGGTCTCACAATAATACAATTATTTTCTACCTTGGCTAACCCTTCCACCTTGTTTTCGTTCAGACGCAGATGTTTATCTAGATGGTGTGACGAAGAGTTGAAATGTTGGATTATATAACTATTAATATATGCTATAAATTATTTAATTTAACGGTCAGTCGATGAAACTTTATCGTTGAGCTGAGGGGGAAGTTTAGATTGAATCCCCTCGGTTGCCCGTAATGATTGTATAATTGTTTTAATGACCACCACTGAACGTGCAGGTTTGAAATGTAGTTGCGTATTCCCAGAGTTAAAACAATAGTATTATCCTTCACTTTTACCCTCCAAGGTTCCAGAAGCATTCAGTCATTAGTGGTCTTTCACTTGTTGCCTGGAAATGGAAACTTAAGTCTTTGACATTGTTGGATGTTGACAAGTAGTAGATCTTTACCCATACACATAAGTGACTTCGATGTAGCAAGATAAAAGAAACGTTCCTGAAGTTCCTCTCTGTGATCGATGCCTCGTTTTTATTCATACTTGCGAATAGAAATTTGAGTTCACTCAACCATACGTAATGGAATTTACTGTTGCTCTTTGGCTTCTTTGGGAGATAGGCCCCGACCTATTTGTACATGTATAGTCATCATTGGGATATGTATATTTACTAAATAACCTCCTTTGTGCCACGACAAGTCCGTGCATGCCATGCATCACGCATGTATTTACCATCATTAACATTTTGAGGTCAATTTTCAAAGAGTGTTACTTTCACTGGAGCGGATTTTCTTTCTGTTTTTGGAGGAAGATAACAGTTAAATTACACATTATGTACCTGGCCGCTGTGTGGAGATTTGTGGACAACTGTTGACTCGACTGAATAAAGAGGCCGGTTTTGCTTTTGTAAACCACTCAGCATCCAGATCTCAGGGGTGGGTTGTACAAATTGCATATAGCATCGCAGAATGTGTGTCCATTTCCCCCGACTTGTCGTAGTGCATCGTATTTGTACTAACCTCTCCCTTTTTTTTTTTTTTTTTTTTCAATCAACGCCTCCTTGTGTATAGTGTAGAAATGCTAAAAAACAAAAAAAAAGGCCGTGTATATTCTGCATGTAAAAACAGCACTGTTCAAGTTCTCCTTGTCAGACTGACAAAGTACTGCACAATTTGTGAGGGGAAAAAAAACACAATTTGAATGTTTCAGGTTAAAAGAGCCCATTAAATTCAGTTTGTTTAATATTTAATTACCAACCGGAGGAATACAAGTTTTGATGTGTCCTCATTTTTAAAAGACTACCCAACTGTAAATGGAAACGGGTGGCAAGTGATAATAACATCAGATTTAGAGAAGGATATTAACAGACTAGTTTGTGTATGGTAGTAGTGTGTTATACGCTTAAAATATTGCTTCTTGAACTATAAAAAAGGCACTTACTGAACTGTACAATTTTAAAAAAGGAATATATTTTCTAATTTCTCCTTTTTCCATAAAGTACTCAGTTTGATCTTTTACATCTAAAAAAAAAATGTAACGGCTATGGATGAGTTTCACAGGGCGGGAAAAGATTTATTGTCATTAAACTGGTAAAAAAATAAAACTGCAACTTCACATGTGAAAGTAAGAGAATAAAAGAACAAACTGAAACAAATATTTCCCTTTGATCGTGACTTCTAACCTGTGTGTTTTTTAGTCTGTGTTCTCAATATGCAAGTCATTTCTTCCAATTTTACAGGAAAATCTTCACAAAGCAAGTTTAATATCAAGTGTCTTCTTCATTCAGGACAATCATTCTTTTTCCTGGGGAAAGAAAAACCTCTGTTACTCAAAAGGATTTTTTAAAAACACCATATGTGTAAGCGGCAACAACATATTGCAGCTGTGAAAGTGTGCTGTGCGGCATTCCTCGTTTTTTTTTTATCGCAATACACAATAATATCGTCCCATCCGTCGCTGACATACCTCCTTGAGTTCCCTTGCAGAGAGCTGAAGTCTCTCCTTCAACTCGTCTCCGACGGTCACGTCAGACAGCACGGACCATTTGCCGTCTGTGAAGGTGACTGGAACAGAGAGGACGATGCCAGCTGGGAGACCATAGAAGCCTACAAGCAGCCAAAGACGATCACATTTCAACACTAGCTAGATCAGTCAAAATCACAGCTAAGATCTGGATTTGGATCCCTCGTTTAAAACCCGAATGAAAATCAGTGATGTTTCTTAAAACGATGTCAGATCATTTTTGTCACACATTGTGCTTGACTGTGCCTTCACCTGGGCAAAGTACACCCACAGAGAAGACCTCATCTGGACCACAAATGCCATTCCAAGCCTTGAGGACCGCAAGGATCCCATTGGCGAGCGACATTGCAGCTGCTCGGCCGCTCTTTGAAGCCACAGCTGCACGTTGACAACCTACCAATTCTTGAAAGTCTGTTTGCAACCATTTCCTGGAAGAGAAAAGAGGATTATTGGCTTTTTTTTTTTTTTTTTTTTGGGCAGATCCCAGCACAGGATGTTTGTGATCAGAGCAGTCAGACTGCTGAGTCAGTACTGTGCAATCAACGCTGGCACACACTGGAGTCACAGCAGGGTACGGTTTGGTGGGCAGTTGTGTAAGTTGATAGCAGATGAGTGACAGACCTTATCGTGTTTTGTTTGTTTAGCCTGCCAGAGTGACTGATGGGTGGAGTTAACCACTACACGCAATAAAGATAAGCCATTAATCTAGTGTTGAAAGCACACAAAGAAATAATGAGCCATACTTTTGAACCAGGAGTCTCAAGCACATGAATGCTTAGAGAAATCCTGTTACAGACCTGTCATGGAGAATCTTTTGGATTGGCTGGGAGAAGAAAGCTGGCCCTTTGATTGCCCCATCATAGTTGAAAACCTTCGCCCTCTGCAGGTCAATGTAGAAACTACCACTGATGTTCCCCCAGACGATGACGTCTGTGATATCTAGAGCAAGAAAGAGACCGTGCTGAGATGTTGTGGAAACATAGAGGAGGTAAATGTGAATCAGCTTCACCAGAGAGAGAGAGAGAGACAGACAGAGAGAGAGACAGAGAGATTACAGCAGCCACCTGAAGTCTTCACTTTCAGCTTCTTCGCAATGACAGCCCTGGCTTCATTCTCCAGCTGCGTTGCCATGGTGATAAACTGGTGGCTGTCGATGGAGCGTGCGTTGTCCAAAAGGAGCGAGCATCTCAGGTTGGCACAGGAGTCACCGGACACAATCACCTTCACCTCCTTGTTGGCCCTCGAGTCAATCAGCTGTCCGTACTCTCTGTACCTGTCTGAGATCCCCTTTACCCTTTTCTTCTTCTTTTCCTCATCCTCATTCTCTGTGTCACTGTCATCAGACCAGCACTCATCCAGCAGTAGAATGACATCCGCTCCCTGGAAGGCCTGTCCCAGATCTGTTTGGATGGTCACCTGTGGATAAATACAGTTTATTTATACAGAACTTCTGGTGTGGTTAAAAAGGAACATTTTCTTTAAAATAATACTTTACTTGATGGAGCAGACGAAGTGCCAGGTCCTCTGTCTCCATCCTCAGCTGCTGCAACTCCTCCTTGCTCCCATCAAGGTCCAGTAGGTGGAGGTTGATGGCAGAAACATGGGGGAACACCTCGGCAGAGAGCAGACTGGGGATCAGGAAGTGGCAGGTGGGGCTGAGAGCACTGGGAAGGTAGGGAAAACGAACACCTGATCTGTCAGCGGATCGATTGCACAAGTGTAACCGGTTTTTCAGACCAACCCACCCACCTGCTGATCCATATGCAAAGGGGTTTGATAAGGCTCGCGCGATGCTGCTCCTCCACGATAAGGTTCATCTTGGTTTCCAGGTTCTCTGCTGCGACACTCAGCATTATATCTGTAGGCATGTCTGATGTGATGCTGTAGTAACCCTGCACAAGCATCCATTAAAGAGTTTGGCAGGTGTGGAAGTGGAAGTGATTTTAATTAAGAGCTAAATGCCTACCTGACAATGCTCTAGGAAGTCACTGAAGCCCCCTAGAAGCATCCCTTTGCCCCCTTGGGCCACCAGTTCCCTCCAGATCAAAGGGGACTGCTCGTGTTTCCATCCGTTTCTACTGCAGGTGACCTCCAGCCATTCCTAGCAGTGAGAGGTCACATTGAGGTGGCAAATAAGTGGAAGAATATACTAATGATTTATAGAGTATTACCTTCCATTCATCTGGGAGGATGGAGATCTTGTGGATCCTGAAGTTCGGCAGAGATCGCTGTAGACTGTCTGCCAATAGTTCCGCTTTGGCATAATGGGGACAGTCTGTTTTGCCTGAAGAGGTTTAAATGATAGAAATCAGAAATACGATATTTCGATATGAAGATAATTGCTAAAAGATAAAAAGAAGAGTCAAACTTTACCCGCAAGCACAAATTTTGCCATTCCATCCAGTTGGCGTTCGTTGCCTAGAAACTGTGGGTGTTGCGCTTATTTGAGTCCGTGTGGAAAGCACCGCAAACGAAACACACCAGAAAGTCTTACAACAACTGCGAGACCTACGATTTACAAATGTCACAGGTCGGTCTTATTAACCGTAACAAATATATACTTGAGATATTTTATACTCACATAAACACTATTTCTGACAGTGCGTGTTGACAGGGGGACTGAATATGGCAGCGCACACAGCACGAAGCACCGTGTGAGCATGGTGGCTAACACTCGTCGGACTACGTTGTGTCTTGTTTTTTTTGTGTGTGTGTGTGTAATGTAGCTCTGTGTCTCTTCGTTAAACAACCTTTTCCTGCGAGATGGCGCAGCAGCAGTGTGTAACGTCGGGGCAATTGTTTCCCCGGTTAGAGTTGTGAGGTAGGGGGCAACAGCTAGCCAGCCTTAGCTAGCGTTAGCTCGCCGGTGTAATTTAGGGGAGGTGTGTTGACCTTGCTAGCAGCAGAGTTCTAGTGCTTTGTAATATATCATTTCTAGTAACTACGTACATAAAACAGTACGCAGGAATGTCTATGGAAACAGTCGGGTCTTTATAATACTTAGTTAACGTATTAACGTTAGCTAATTGAGTAATAGTTGCCATTACTTTGATTCCAGCTCCATAGTTTGCTGAATACATTCAGTATTGGTTGTTAGTTAGCAGCTATTTGCTGGTATTTAAGGACGCCATTGCGTCTTGTTGCTGTTGTTTTTCCTTCTTTTTGGCGTCTCCAAAACGAGGACAATGTCTTTCCGGGCGGCAGAGGAGATCATGAGACGGGGCATGCGCTTCTGCTGCCGCAGGTCTCTATGGCAACAGCGCAGCTTCCTGACGACAACGTCAAGCAGAGACACATCTTTCCATAGTCAGCATCTGGCACACTTTGTGGTCACAAGGCAAAGCCTGGCCGGGAGTCAGGTCAGCTCAGTGAAGTTTTACTCACAGGAAAGGATTCACAGTGAGGACCTGGATGTGAAGGAGCAGCTCTTGGAGTCTTTGCTGCCTGCTGAGATCCGTTCTGATGAGACCGCTTCACGTCAGACACAGGAGCGCTCCCCTTTGCATGACCAGCTGCTGCAATTTGGCTCCCCGTCGGAAGTGTTGGACTTCACCATCCAGAACGTGCCCACGGCTGAACAGATCAGCAAAACCCTGACCTACATGTGGTCCACGATTAAGAAGATGTCGACTGATCAGCAGCGCTACGAGCTGCAGCTGATGTTTGAGCATCCTGCATTCGAAAGCCTGCTGCAATTAGTCAGGAAGAATGTGGGGGAAATGAGCAGTGACAATAAGCCTTATTCTCTCTTGGCTATGGTCAAGCTGGGTGTCCCCCAAAATAGCCTTGTCGTCCAGACTTTCCTCCAAGCCTGTCAGGTAGACAGTGAGAGATTGACAGCAATGTTTTCACACTGGTAATGTTTTTGTTCTGTTGTTTCGTGTTGGTTTTTTTTTTTGTAATGTGCTTTTTTGTCCACTAACAGGCAGAATTGAATTACTTTTCTGAGAAGAGCCTAGCCATCTTGGCCTGCTGTCTGAGAGATATGGAGGAAACCCCTAACGTTGCTGCACTTAAGAAGGGCGTGGCGTAAGTATTATCAAAATACCGTATGCAAATGGGTGCGATATTAATTCATCAGACAAACACTAACTCTTCTTAATCACTATATAGATATTTACCACAACTTTTTCAGAATGATTGACATTGCTGTGTTTTGTGGCTTCGTCCTAGGCTGGTAGTCGAAATACGTCTTCCCGGGATCAAGAGTGTCGTGGCTCTCCAGACCATAATGCAAATGTTGGGGAAAGATGCCCCACACAACCTAAAAAAAAAACTAGGGGTTGGTTTACGGTTTTGACCAGATTTGGTATTCATTTCCCCCGTATACGTGACCTCCCTGTCATCACAGTGTAAAGTCTCTATGATGTCTTATTATTGCAGGATTTAGTGGTTTTACATTTTGATGAATGATATTCCAATTGTTTATCAAAAATAGAAAAAAAAACATATCATATCAACTCTCTCTTCACAGTATTGTAGTGTTTTTGAACTATAGACCAAAACTAACCAGTATTTCCATTCCACATTGACATTCATTCTACACACTGCTTCCCCCAGAAAAAGGCTTTATCAATGTCAAACCAGTTCAACCTTCCCAACGTCCAGTACATGATCTGTATTATGGCCACAATGGAGTACTGCTCCAAACCACTGATGGCCATCTGCTGTACGAAGATCAGAGGTAAAACCTTTTCCACAAGATACAATGTTTAAATGAGTGATCACAAAATTGGAAAACATAAAAGACTGTTTTATAGTTTTACCAATCGGCTTTCACCTCTCTCCTCTCGGGTAGAAAACATCCCCGTAATTCCCTTCTGGAGGTTGTTGGCAGTTCTGCAGTCGTGCACGAAGCTGCACTACAGAGACATGAATCTGTTCACCGACGTTTCGGAACATGTCGCCTTCACGATAGACATGTGGACCAACAAGCAGGTGCTGCAACACTTTTGTGAAATGCTACGTATTCTTAATGCTACAGACAGCGTAGTAAGAATCTACCAGAAAGCAGCCGCTAACATGTTCCATTTGTGCTCAGTTGGTCCTCTTCCTGACAGAGTTCGATAGGAACTTCTTCTGTCCCGCTGCCCTAATGGAGGCGTTTGCTAAGAAGGTGATCGCCAGTCCAGAGAGTCTGACACGTTATGTTCTCCTCGTTGTCGTCCGGGTGTACTCTTCACTTAACTATGACCTGCAGCACCAAAGGCAACAGTAGGTCTCCATCTTTTAAATGTAACTTTCGCTCACAGCTATCTCAAAAACAGATGTCATCCGTTGTTTTTTAGCTTGCTGTTACTTATTACTTACAGAAGTTGCTCGCTTTCAATTTACTTTAAGACCCTTTCACTGGGCTCAAGCCTGTCAGATTGTTGGTTTCAGAAAGCAGCTCTGTTTCACACTCTGTGTGTGTGTGTGTGTGTGTGTGTGTGTGTGTGTGTGTGTGTGTGTGTGTGTGTGTGTGTGTGTGTGTGTGTGTGTGTGTGTGTGTATATATATACACATATATCATATAAAAATCAGCTTTTACTGTCTTTAGACTGTAGAAACTGGCTAACAACCTTTTATGATCATTTTTTTTCTCATTAAGTTCAACAGATGTTCCCTAGCCATGGGTTCGAATCCGACCTGTGGCCCTTAGCTGTGTGTCATCCCATCTCACTCTCCAGCTGTCCTATGCCCCCCCAAAAATATCCTTAGAAATTGAGTTTTTCAGTCATGAAAACACCTGGAAACTGATTAAAATATCCAGGAAATAATCTGATTTGTACTGGAAAATTTTTATAATATTTTAGCAACTCAACCTGTGTGTACGTTTTGTTTGAAACTCAACTGTTGAGAGCATAAGCTGCACGATATGACAGCTAAATGTGTCAATATTAGGCCTACCGGTAGATGTTTCTGAGCAAGTGCTATCCTGTATAGTCAAGAAGAACTCCCGGAAAGGTCCTGGAAAATGAAAACTGAAAACATTTTCCTATCTAACAGTAGATGTTGCATAACTTTCATGAGCTTTGGTTTCCAGGCTTAATGAGTTTCATGTTGCTGTTTCAGGTTCCTGGATAGTCTCACCCAGGCTCTGGAATCCTATCTTACCAAGATGTCTGGGTTTGAGTTGTTAAAGGCTGTGTACGGTCTGTGTGTAATGGGCCACTACCCCTCCACGCTGCTGGAGCAACTCCTGCAGAGCAGCACGCTGGAGCAGTTTGAGACTACGGGTAAGACGATGTGCACCAGTCGTTTTCTGCCTTGTGTCTTCTTATTCTCCACTTTTCCTTTGCACTTCGATTCGTAAACTTCATCCATCTGCACCCCCGTTGTTTCTCTCCAGCGCCTAAGTTCCGCCACTACCAGGAGTTTATGTTTCAGGTAGTGAACTTGTGCCTCCGTCTTGAGCGCCCTCCGCTCCCTCAGCCCCTGACTGTTCCACCGTCTGCCCTGGGAGCCGCCCCCAACAATTCGCCAGTCAACCTGAATCTCTTGCAGGGTCTGCAGAGTTTGTTGTTGGAGCATGCAGACATGACGCTGCAGGAAATGGTGCTCGTGGAGAACTTTTACTTAATAGGTAAAGACAGAAGAGAGGCAGGCTAATAGTTATCGCTAATATCAGATCATTGTGTCTGCATTTAGTTCTTTTATCTTATACCAAGTAACTACAACACAGATTTTCAACTCATTTTAAAGGTGTGATGTTAAACAAGTGCCTGTGTTGTGTGTGTCAACTCTCAGATGGTTTGATAACCAGACCTCTGCCACACCAAACCTCTGCGACTGAAGCAGGTAGTCATGCAGGAGACGAGCGCTCTCCAGCAGAGAGCAGTCAAAGGTAAGGCATTGGCATCAGCTTGCAGCCAATAACGTCACCAGAATTTGCAGAGGTGTTGCACTTTTTTTAAATTTTTTTTATTTAAGAGGGCTGATGTCATGTTTGGTAAAGCTGACTGACAATGTCGGGCATCGACGCACGCCATGGTTGCATAAGGCATACATACTTACGCAATAGAGGGTACCTAAGACGGTCATAAGGAGCTCCTTAGGCCATAAAATAGTTTTCTGAAAGCAGGAGTGCTTGTTACTCGTATGTAACACCACAGTTAAATCCCATTTTAAACTCGTTTAAAGGTTTGAAGTCCAACTTTCAGTCACTTGCTTTGGTTGTAAACAACTTAAGACATGTTAAAAAAATCATCATCATAAACATAAACGCATCAGGAAGACTTTAAAAGTGTAACCCACTACTCTAAACAATATATAAATAGACAATAAGACAAAGACAAACTCTTCAAAATATAATAATTAAAATATATGATATCCAGTGGCTTAAATACAGTTTACTTATTATTTCACAGTTGTAATTAAACATACTTTGTTTGATTACTCCAACACTGTAATAGTTACGAGTATTTGATTACTTTAGGATTACCCTGGTTCATCACTATAATTACTATATTTCAAGTAGTTTACAAACATTTAAGTTCTCAGTTTCACTCCTGTGTCATTCTCCTTTAACCGTTCTTCTAGAATTACCCAAAAGCAATCACAAAATGACTTAATTACTTTCATTAAAACACTGCAACGATCCAGTTTTATACCCAACCTGTTAATTACCATAGTCATGTTCGCCATAGTCATGTCTGTTTCACTTTAGCATCTGCAGACCTCAAAGACATGTCAGCACAATTTAACTGATGTTTGTGTGTTCAGCTCTGCTTATAAAACCTGCCTCCATGTTTTGTGGTGCTTCTGGCCTGTCCACATTTTGAATACTGGGACTTTAACCTCTAATTATATCATTTATTTGTACATCAGTTCAAAATCTCAACTCAGAAGATGCTGTTTTAAATCAAGTTTTACTGTATTCTTATGCAATATGTCTGGGCAGTAAATTACGTCAGTCATTCAGTGCTTTAACTAAAGTAGAATTTTATTGAACCTGCTAGTGCACTTTTTACCCATACAAATTCAAGCAAATGTTGAATTATACAAACATACAACATTTTTAAAAAATGCATTAAAAAAAGTAGGATTAAAAGGAAATTTGAAACATGAATTCAAATAAAAGTACAATAACGCTACTGAGTAAAGATCTGTAGTTGCGTGTGTGTTAAAGGAAGTCAGTCACGGCACTGTCTTACTGAAAATAAAGCCACAATATGCTCCGTATACTGCTCAGCTTTCAGGATTTGTGCCTCCCAATGATATTCTACCACACAGACATCCACTTTCATACTGTCATACCTGTACGCAAATTCAAATTTTGACCCTTTTTTTTTTTTTTAAAGCTGAGAAACCCTTGTCTTGATGTCCTAGAATTGCAGTAATTTGCACGAGGTACACTGGTTTTTGCCATGGTACGTCCAATCCCCGTGGCCATCTGGCTGTCAAGATTCGCCATCTGAAGATCCTGGGATATGACCCTGTCTTGGTGAGACTCACAGATGATCCCAGTTTAAAGTCTAAAGTTGTCCCTTTTCAGTGTTAGAGTGTTAACATTTTACCGTCCAAAATGTCCGCTGGAATGAATAATGAACTAATTTCCCTGTATGCTCCCTCAAACAAACTATAAGAGTTGAGTGCATCGCAGTGATGGCGAGGTTTATATAATCCTATTCCTTTTCTCCAGGTGTCGGAGCAGAAGCTACAGTCCGTGTCAGAGGAAGAGATGACAGAGTTCCTCAGGGGACTGATTTTTCCAGAACACGAAAGCCCGGACACACAACCCAAAATGGAGCAACTGGAATCTTAAGGACAGTTGTTAAACGGATGCCAAGTTCCATGCCCGGTTCACAACCTGTTCAATCGTCATGAACACACAGATTTTTTTTTTTTGTGCTTTTTGTAAACAATTAAGAAGAAATAAATATGTGAAAATATTTAAATAAATGACGTCCCTGGATAAACTGAGCTCAAAACCATCTGTGACACACATGAACTTTATTTTACCCCCCCCAACCTATTCTGTAAAAGATCATCTGTCTGTCAGTAGTTGATGAGTAAGACCTTGCTGCTGAATGAAACCAATAAAACCAGTGTGCTCAGAAGCTGCAAGGTGCGCGAGGTAAAGGTAGAGTCCCTTTGAAGAAGCCACATCTGCACACAGCGTGAAGGAAGGAGAAGAGGCAGGGAGGAAGACAGGAAACGGTGCAGATTGTTATTGTTTGAAGCGTGACGCTCCCTGTTGTTTATCTGGTTCTCATCGACCTCGCCGATTGTTAACTCTGAGAACACATTCTATTTCTCAGAAAGAACGGCGTGCAAAATGTAAAAAAGGGAGTGAAACCAAGTCACTTGATATTTTCACTTTTGGCCCCTGAAGTTTAGCTGACTTAACGGCTTCTGGGTTCAGTTTTTTTTTTTCTGTTACGAAATTGTGGTCACTCTTATCCGCATGAGCTTTGATTGTGGTTAAATCCCCCCCTATCAGGCACCTCCTTCTGTTTCAACCACAAAGAAAGGGGATTACAATTACAGAACTGAGTGTGACAGAGACAATAGTGAGGGACTAGGTAGGTAAGAGGTTTTTTTTTTTTTTTTTCGGTTTATTTTTTAGTAAAAGAAAACTGCTACTTTTGCTGTGTGGACACAAAACTATTGACAACAAAGTCTCGATCACAATAATGTTCTCCAGTGCAAGCTACTACAAGGACTCCCCTTTGTGTGTATCTAAATGGTCACATCATGCACGGGCAGTCAGAAGTGTTTTGGTATAGGATTTTGAACCCCCCTTTTCTTCTTGCGGTCCCGGGAAGCTTTGGGTTTGGTGTTCATGTAGTCGCTCTGGGAATCCGTCCTCCTCAACTTTATCTGTAAGACACGTGAAAAACTGTTAAACCACAGCTGTTAGACACTGTAATGTGTGTTCGTAATGTGCCACATACAGTAGGAAAATGTGGATTTTGTGGGGGTTTTTCCGGATGAAGTGTTGCTTATATTTCATCATTTAAAGGTTACATGTGGTGGGACTTTTGAAGGACGGTTCCAACTATTTTCAGGCCAAGAAAAATAAAGTAAAAATATGGACAAATACAACGCTTTTTCCAAACTGAATTTAAGTCCTTTAAGTTATTTTTTTAAAAACAAATATGAAAATAAAGCAGCTGAATAATTTTTTTTTTTTTGGGGGGGGTTGAAAATAGGGCTGCACAATTTAAAGAAATATCACAATATTCAAATCACAGAAGCTGTCATTTGTTTTATAAATGAATGTATGGCAAAACAGCACTATAATGAATCCAAACCTTGTTCTCGAAATGTAAGAAAACATGTTTTGTCACCTATTTAATTAATTTTATTTTTTATTCTGTGGTGCAAAACACATTTTCAAATTGTGCAGCCCTAATTAAAGAAAACAGAAAATTGTACAGAAGTCTTTTTAAGAGAGATCAGCCCCATTTCCTGCAAAGATGTCAAATAAAAATGTCTATGTTTCAAATGTTTTTCGTGTGTTTGAGGAACATCATACCCAGCTGACTATGGCAAAGATGGTGACAGTTACACTGTAGATGCTGACAGCTGCAAAAGTCAAAATCCAGGGTAATACAGTAGTTTGATCTTCATGTGCATTATCGCACATTCCTGGGTTGCATTGGTGTCCTGGAAGAAACATATTTAGTAAGTATCCACTAGACTGTGTGCAACCAAAAAAACTGCACATCTATTAGGAATGTTTACCTTTTATAAGTAACAGGATCTTCAAGTCACTTGGTTTTTCTTTCAGGGGAGGAGGGAACAAGTCTTTGCCCACACATCTGTAGATACCGTGGCTGCTGGCATTCACTCCCTTGAGTATGTAACTGACCGTCTCATTGTCTTCGTGTTTATGCAATTCCATGCCCACCATGATGGGGTTTGATGATGTGTTTGATGGCGTACACTCTAGTGAATATCCTTCCTTATGGCATGTGTGTTCGAAGATAATTTTGTCCTCCTTAAGAACTGTAGTTGTGAATACTTCTCCCGTCATGTTTGGGCAAGGCACAGACACATTATTTCCGGCAGCTTCACAGACGGTTTGCAGCTGGTCTGGAGAGAGAAAACGTGTTAAGGGTTCAGGGTGCAATTGCACTCTGGTTTTTGATAATGGAAGTCTCTTACACACAAATAGTAGAATCTTACATCTCTGATTACGTGTCATGAACTTGCAAAGCTTTGTAAAAATACTGCCAATATGACCTAAAACTTGCAGTGAGCACAGAGAAACTTTCCACTTTCAGCAGATGAATGTGAAAAACATCCTTCAAGTGTCAAACTGCACATATGGCATTCTGCACAGTTAAACATCACACTGTAGGAGCAGGAAGAGAAACTGATTTTTGACTGGAGGGGATCTTGAAATGATTAGAAATAGAGGGACTTTGTGTCTGCTGTTGCTGTAAACCACGCCTAGACACCAGTGTCTTTTTCTACAACCAAACACATTAGCAAAGCTCCTGCAAACGTTGATTTATTTGCATTTAATTCCCCTGGTTGATATTCAGGCTATGAAACTCAAACTCGTCATTTCACAGTAACTCCACCCCCACACGGAATTTGTTCAATAACAGCACATCTAAGCACATTTACCTCTTTTCAACTAGCCTCACGCTTCACATGAAAGACAAGACATTTGCCATGTAAGTGGCACACTTGACTCAGCCACTGCCTGACTCAAGTGTGCCACTCCCAAGGTAGTGGTTTATGTCATTCAGTGCTATTTCTTTTGTATGGATTAGTGTTAAATTAACACCTTCAGCACTCTATGTAACCAGCAATTGCCCTAAAGTTTATTTTGACACATTAAAGTGTCTCAACCCACAAATAGGCATATTCAGCCAGCATAAGGAAACTATGGTTACTAGGGTCATCTCAGGTCACAGTACCCACAAACAGACAAAAAAGGTCTCTTGTAAAGTTTCCAGCTGATTATTTGTATTCTTAGTGGTAACTAATGCCTGATCACTGTGAGCATATATGTACTGAAAGCTAGAATGTATGTGTTGCAGTACAACTCACCGTTGCAGGTGCTCTGAGACTGAGTGGTATGTAGTAATCTGCAGCCCACGAGGATCACGAGCATCCAGCAGGCACTCATCTTCCACTTCTGTACCGCCGAGAGTGTCAGCTCGCCTCCAGCAGAATGATGCCCTCGAGGCTCTCCCTCATCACCTAAAGCATCCACCTCATCCGACAGTCTACGTTTGCTGTGTGGTGCAGAGAGATGTGATCCGTTACTCTGATATCATCAACCCTGGTTCCATGCGACTGTAATGCATAATAGTCTCGCTCTGTCTCTGATTGAAGCACTCCCACGGTGCCGCACTAACTTAAACTTACACATTCTCTCTTGAAGGAAAACATCCTGTGGCAGAAACTCCTCCTCTTCTCAAGTTTCCGCTCGCTCCTGAAATTTGTGACCTTTGATGCCCTTAAGATTTATTAAGATAAGACATAGATTTAGACCAAACAGAGCTGTTCCTATCAAGTAAAGAACACTGGAAGCTGCATATTTGAGGCAGTGTTTTTTTTATTGTTTCATTGTGTGGAGACAAATATGTGTCTCTGTTACCTGTAGTTACTTCTTGTTAATACCCACAAGGCGTCTGTAAAGAGTACAGGTGTTGGGCATGGTGTACAAATGAGGACAGCAAGATAGATTATAGAAAATATACTCTGTATTTTCTGCTGTGTGTGTGTGTGTGTGTGTGTGTGTGTGTGTGTGTGTGTGTGTGTGTGTGTGTGTGTGTGTGTTCAAGCAGTATGAGAAGAGTAATGTAGCAGCCACAGTTGGAGGTGGAGTGAGTGATCAAAAGTGCAATGACCCAGTGTACCTTGTGGAAAGGTTTACTGAACACAATGAGACATATTAAACAGGTTTGAACTGAAATGCGTTTGGCTGCCGAATTGTCACCGCCTCACAAAAACACAGACACAGCCTGGAAATATATTAAGGTGGAATGTGAAAAAGAAACTGCCTCTGTGCTTTGTGAGTCATGGGCACATGTACAAACATGTATGGCAGTGAGAAAAATAGTATTGTGTTTGTGATGTGTGGAAATATCAGCTATAAGAGAGGGTGAATTCCCTTACATGGTGTAGTAAGACAGGATTTTTAATATTAGATTTAAAAACCCTTGACTGTATCCACAAAATACAGTTGAGTTGAACTTGTAATAGCTTTCCTTGTCCACTAGATGGCAACCAAGCATTTTATTTTGATCGGCCTGTTGATAACGGTTTTACTATAAACCAGCTATCTGCTTACATTCTTATAATATTTTAAACAATATTTCACTGTCAGTACCTTTTCCCATTTACATGTTTAACGGCCTAGAACTGGGATTAGAGACTATAAAAGGTTAGAAAATATTTACTTTGTGTAGCAACACATGGTGACAGATTCATGGGATTGTGAAGTGGGGATTATAGCATTTCTAAAATGTTATTTGTAATTCTAACTCAGAAAATGGATGAGGGGGGATTGGTGGGTTAGTAATGCCATGTGTCCATATGGATGACACATAATAATCTCCTAATCTGGAACAAGGCCCATTTGTCTGGTGGTGGAGGCTTTAAGAGAGCATCAGCAAGAACCCATGCAGTGCTGCAGTGCATCTTACTATCTCTTTTAAACATATTTCTACCTTTTTGTTTTATATTATTATTATTACTTACTACAGGGAATAGCTGTTGGATGCTGCCTTCACTGCCCCCCCCCCAAAACTGCGACTTTTTGGGTTTGTAATATGTAAAATAAAAATTGCTCATTTAGCTTTTGTTTTTGCTTCTTAAATTATTCCATGAAGCCTGTAACAATATTATTTGTTATATGTTAGAAAACAAGGAGCACAGAATGGCTTCCAATTGAAGTGGTAACGGTGAAGAGGCGAAAGTGTGTATAAAATTAGCGTTTTCGCCAATGAATAGGACCAAAAAATGGGCCAAAATGTGTCAATCGGTCAACTCGGCTAACACCACAGCGTGAGTCTTTCCCAGTCACATCTGCATTTACTAGGTCACTCCTCTTCTCTGCTATCAGCTCGAGTATAAGATATTTCCGACAGTCCATGAAGGCAGCGTTGGGATCTGGGCTGGACAGGAAACGACGGAGACGCGCAGCGTGTCTCCTCAGCAGCTCCGGGAGAGAAGAATGGGAAAGGGAATGGGACTCTGTATGTAGACGAGGCAGCGTGTGAAAACATGAAGACAACGGGCAGTTTTTAAGCTACATTCCTCTTTAAAACACATAATTACACATATCACATCAGGAGTTTTCCCTGTTTTCCCCCCCTGAGGGCAGGGATATTGGCTGCCATTGGACAACAGAGGAGAGGAGAGGAGAGAGGACCCTCTTTGTGAATCTCATTTGGCTGTAAGTGGATTTTTCTTCACTATTCCGACATGTTTTAATCCTCTAACCCCTTTTTTCTCGTCTTTAAATGACCATACCAAGAGACTGAATATGTCAAATCCTAAATGAATGTCAGTTTATTTTATACACTGGCAGCCCATCCTAGATTGTGTCCTCTGGAGAGGAGACGGAGGAGTAGCTATACTGTTTACCATACTTCTTTAAAGACCAGTCGCTATGAAGAGACAAACCCCTGTGAGTGTGTTGTTGTGAAGTGTGTGTGTGTCTGTTGTGGCAGGCTGTTTGAATGAGGGGGTTTGTGTGCCCCCCTATGCGGCCATTGAACAATCCCTTTCTTGGGGAGAAAGGGCGTGCAGCGTTTGGGCCGACTTGGAAAAGAGCCGCAGCTTTTGATGGGAGAGGCAATTGAACGTGGGCCTATTGTTGTGTTGTATTTGTTAGTTATGTTGCCCAAACCGAGCCCTTTGGCTGAGGAGGGGAGGAGGGGTGGAGGGGTTATCTTCAACCTAATTTTCCTCCCCTGCACCTAACTGAGCAGCGGGGAGATGTGTAGTCTCCACCCTGTTCAGCGGGAGGAGGCTATCTTCTGGTAATGGCCGATGGTTTTGTCGCGTTAATGTTTGTATCTTGCCGGTGAATTATTTTTTTTTGGGGGGGGGAATACATCATTCAGTACCTCTGAAACAGTAATTTACCTCCGTCATGTGTGTTAATGTGACCTGGCTCGTGTCGTTATCAGCTACCACGTTCACTGCAGCTCGTGGACACTGTTTTAATTCCCTTTGTTGGATGACGCCGCCGGCAGTGGATTGGTTAACATGTAGCCAGTTTGACCAGTGGCTATCCCCAATCTGATACTAGCATCCACTTTGGCTAGTTAGCGTACAACCTATGCAGTGTTTGTAGCTTTTATTTGTTCACGCATAGTGAAGCCTGGTGGAAAAGTTAAAGCCCCCTCCCAGACATGTGTAAAGACGTATACAAATAGTCTGCTGGGAACAATAATGTGTCTTTTTTTTCTGGAAAGGAGTATAATTTATATATTAAAAACCTCATTACAAATTAATTAACTATGAATATGCAAAATGTCTTCATTTTCCTGACGCAAAATGTCTCCTTCACTGTGAAGTCCATCCTCAGTGTATGTGCGCTGGAGGCTTCAGGCATCCACATCATACTTCTACAAGTTGAATAATGGCCAAAAACTACAAATTATTAGTGATGTCACAAATCATGTTCATAGGCCCCGCCTCTTAAAATCTGATTTTCAATGAGCTCAGAGAAATGTTCCCCTTTCAGCAGATGAATGTGAAAACATCCTTCTAGTGTCAAACTCTGCACAGACATCGTTCAGCACAGTGAAGATCAAACATCCAGCTGTAGGAACGAGGAGCGGAAGCAGACTTTAAAGCTCTGTTTTTCTGCTGCTTTACTGGCAGAAATAACTAGAAGTTCCCAAAACTACTTGAACAATCTTCTCCAAGTCTTAGCCTCAGACTTCGCTCACATTCAGACATTAACACTTGAAAGATAATGACCCTTCATTGACAGTGGAGTTCAAAGGTCATTTGCAGAGAGGCTGCCGACCGTGCCGCTGTCTGGCTGGCTACCATATGGGGCAAGTAAACATTCCCTCTGGTGTTATTTACACAACCAAGGCCAGGCGAGGATAACTTTTTTTTTTTTTTTTTTTTTAACTCTATCTATTCAGTTCAGGGCTGAATACACAAAACAAACTGTATTTGCTCAAAAAAAGCCACCAAGAAGCCACTTTGCTCGGCCCTTTATTCCCCACAGTGGCATTATAATGGACCGTCTGTGTCCTTAAGGCACGCTTGATTTGCATCCACAAAGCGCTAGACTAGAAGCACATTATTCTGGGCATGGAGACAGTGCTGCAACAATGCAACCCATTCGCTTACAGTGCAGTTAATGGGTTGAAAATAACTGCTGGCCTTCTGGTCGCGTCCCCCCTCAGCCTCATGCCTGTAAGCTTGTCATGTTTTCTGCAGGAGGGAAATAGCAGGAGTTTGGAGTCAGATATCACTCACTGTCTACTGAGTGATGCCACAGGCACATCTGGAAAACCTAGTGATCTTTTGTTTTTGTTCCTTTGGGCATTTTTATTGTGTTGCTGTGTCTCATTATGAAATGTGTTTCTTAAGAACTTAATTATCATCTGGTTATGTAAAATGGATGGATTGAAAATATTTGCTCTGTTTTTGAAGTCAGAGGCAACTTTTGGAGGCCTATTCTGGGGCTGTTGGTCTGATTCTTTATTGATTCTTGATAAATCTTCTGTGTTGCCATTGTAGTTGTAGAAGAAGATTTTGTTGCAATGGTGCAAAAACATAAAGAACTTTAAAAAGAAACAGTGGACACGCGCCCCCATAATACAGCTCCTCATGTAATCGGATCATACAAGGCATTTACACAGTAGAGTTAACAATCCTGAAGTCACTGCATTCAGGCAGCATGGTACACAGCTCAGTCATAAAAAGCTCAGTCATGGATTAAATTTCCAGCCACAGAGGTAAAACACATGTTAGAAGCGAGCGTGTCATTTCACTGCCCCAGTTTAAAAAGCACATGCGAGGAATTCTTCGCCGTCAGCTTTCTTTCTCGAGGCTGTCGAGAAGAGAACCTAGGGAGAGAGAGGATATATATTTTGGAAGAAAACATCAGCTCAAAATACATAACCAGAAACATGGTTTTCTCATCCACCCACTCTGTCTTGTTTTGCCAAAAGAGGAAAAGAAAAACCCCCATCTTCTCTTCTCCCTCCATCCCTCTTCTCCCTTTCACCCCCTTTTTTTGTACGCTTGATTTCCTTTGGATGTACTTGATTAGATGAGAAAAACAGTTGTCAAAGAAATTTCGGGCTTGAGGAATGATCCACAACACCGTGTGCGTTAGAGAAGTAGAGATTTGAAAGCTATTCTTGATTTATATATTTGTGTGTGTTAGAATGTCCTGCATGCTGGTCTGTCTGTCTGTCTGTCTGTCTGTCTGTCTGTCTGTCAGCACTTTACTGGCTCTGTCGTGCGAGTCGTAAGGGCCCTGTCTGACCTCCGCCCATCCAATCCACCCACGTCCCTGGGCATAACACTTTTGTGCACAAAAGCTCTAGAGACGAGGTTGGGGGGTGGCGATGGTGGCTGGTGTAAGTTTACCCAGGTTGTGTTACAGCCGGGGGTGCAGGTGGGTAAAGGGGAGGATGGCACTTCAAACGCAGCCTTCAACACAAACTGATGGAGCGCCGGAGGGGAGAGTGTAACCTGATATTTCCACTGATATAAGGTACCTTTGCTTGGGTTGAGAGTGGAGACTAAACTGGGTGGGGCGGGGGGGGAGAGAAAGGCCACAGCTGCATCAGGGCCCAGCTCCTTGATGGCAAACAAGACGGCGCATTACGGGTGTGATTGAAAACGAGAGTGCCTATGTGTCATTCCACCTGGGTGTGTCGCCCCTCTTGTCACAGGCACGTGTTCTCAGCCACTATAGGGCCTTGTTCTGGTAACATTTTGCTGACCTTTGGTGGCAGCTGCCCCTGCCATTTGGAAACAAAGACAAATGGCTAAGCAGTCCGCCTGTAGCCAGCAAAACCGCTACTGTTCCAGATAGAGAGTTGCTTTTCCTGTTGGCCTTTTCATACAGACTGAGAGACTTGTATCATTGCCCTCTGTGGCAGGAAATCAATTGTTTGACACACACGCAGGTTGTGGAGCCTGAGAAAACATGTACTTTTACACTCTTACGCCTCGATTTTGTATTGTTTTTAATGAGTGCACATACCCGCCATCAGGAAATGTGGGCGGCGTAGATATGTGACGATGTACGCCTAATGCAGCCTCTACCTTCCGGCTGCACCGCTGATTGGAGTAGGCAGAAAGAGGGCACCCTCTACTCCTTTCAGGGGCACTACATGATCTGGGTCCTCGTTCTGCAGGTGCACTCAAGCGCACACGCACCGCTATATAAAGACAACTAGGGATGCGAACGGCAAAGATTGACCTACAATTCGATGTCTTTGCCGTGCTGGTTTTCATATCTGTGCCATTGGGTGAACGTTTTCTCCTGCAGCACTTTGCAGTATGCATTTTTAGCACGGGTTAGTCCAGGTGGGATTTACACTCTTAAAGGGGGAGTCCACTTTTAGACACTTTTGCATGGTTGGATATTTTTTATTCACAGTTTTCAGGAGTTATTTTATGATTAAATGTCCCTCAAGCTGCCTTGTTGACCTTCATACATTTCCCAGGTTACCTTGCAACAACCATCGGAGAACGGGTTTGCACTTGTTGGATGTAGCTGTGGGTTATAATTTGTAGTTTATAATTCAAGTTTTCAAGAGGAGAAAAAGCAAAAGTTGCACCCCTAGCTCAGTACCGGCTTGTGTTGGGGCTGCAATGCATTCTGGTCTACTGAGGCTACTAGAGAAACTGCTTCTATACCTCTGCTTCTTTTAAGATGGATTTCTCCCTCTATAATTGTTAAGCATCTGTATGGAGATGAATGGCAACTCTTGGCACAGACACCAATAATCAACATTATCTGTAGTTGTTTTTTAAAAGCACGTTTTTAATGAGATATCATTCCATCAGATGTCATTAATAGGGTTTTGATCCACCTATTAAACTGCATAACCACCTCAGTCTGTCAGTCTTTATCTCCACACCACTTCTTCCATGACCCATTTTTCCTATCTGATCTGCTATGATCCAGTATCCAGCCTGTTGTATTGTTCATTCATTAATTGTCCCTTTTGTTTGCTACTTCTTTCACTGTACATTTTGTGTAAGCAGCTTAGGCAGCTATTAATCAGTGTGACTTTGACAATGCCAGGTGGCTCATTCTCACCCCCCTGTCCACCCCTCCCCCTCTACTGTATTACAGATGGTCTCTTCCATTCACTGTTGTCGGGGGTCAGTCTTTGTCAACTTAACAGCACACGTGACAGGAAATCGCGGGGGTGTCACAGGGTTGATCATGCACCCGGC